GAGCAGAGTGGAGAATGTTCTCTGAAGAAGTCCTGGCTGGGAGCCATGGCAGCTTCCTGTCCTTCTCTTTCATCCCCTGCAGTTCATATTGAGTACAGCAACCACAGAAAGCTTGTTGTGAATTATACATCACTTCCCTGCTGAATAAATGATAGCTCCCACTTTGTGGTGGGTGTTCGGACTAAAAGCAAAGTTTTGGGTTCAGACTGAATTGAGGATATTTTGTCCAGACTTCCTGTAAACTTGGAAAGTACTTGTTATGTTAGAAGCAGTACAAAGCCTCTTTTCAAATGGTTGTCATTCCCTGCAGGATTCAAGGCAGCTTAAAGGGATTTAATGTTGTAACTGGAAGGGCCAGAGTGTGAAGAAAGACCAGTGTGCAGATCAAGTTCTGTACAGTACAACCAGTATGACACATGAAAAAAAAATGCAATTTCAGTTCCTCAAACAAGACAGAACCAGAGGAAGCACACCCCAGATCTCTGTCCATCTGAACAGCAGAGGCACACAGAGACAGGCAGACATGCAGCCACGTGATCGGCCCACTGGATGACATCATTGCAGAGAATCTGGGACAAAGAGGGAGGAGAGCAGGAGAGCTGGCATGCCTGGCGGATACCATGGCAGGCCTCAGCAGCAATATGGACACACAGCTGATACCAGCTCCAGTGAGGTGGAAGCATCTTGTTCAGCTATTTTGCATAATATACGATGCATCAGGTGCAAAGACTCAGATTTATGTAGAGAATTTGATTATATACACCAATATAAGACTATTACAACACATCATAATGTTTGCCACGCCTAAATAATAGATGCATTCAGTCTCTGCTCATTCCTCTTCATGAATAATATGAATAATTGAACAATAATTGTTTAAATAGCCCTTTAATCAATAAGCATGAGCTTATGTTAATGCTCATTAAAATTAAGTATTGAAAATGACATTGCAATAAAGCTTTTAAAAAATATCCCCCACACAGTTTTCATATTCTGAATCACTTCCAATATAAAATCACTACCATCTAATAACATTTATCTTATTGCAAAGCCCTTAAAGAGCTATTTAAACTATTACAATGTTGTTTAAATGTTAATGAAAAATGCAGAACAGTGTGGTTTAAGCAGCATTACCAAATATTGGTAGTAAAAGCGATTTTTTTCCCTCAGTGCACAGAAGCAAATCCCCTGCCCTGCCTGTATAAATCTGATAGCACCGCCCTCCCATTCAGCAGTTGTTGCAACGACCCCGTTGGGTACAACACGCGACGCAAACACACCGTTTTTAAAAAGCCTTTTTTCTTCACATTTTCTCCTTCTCCTCTCCCTCTTTTGAACCTCAGACGAAAAACATGGTAAGTTCCTCTTTCTCATGTGTGTTTTCTGAGACAGTTTAGTGAGGCAGAGATGAAGGTTGAGCAGCAACCCCGGTGTCTCCGGCTGTGACACGACGTCGCGGAGGGTTTTTCCATCCTCGGATGACCCTCTCCACTTTATCCTGCAGACCCGGTTGAGTGTGTTTTTACAGCTGTAGCGTCACTTTAACAGCACTGTGGGTGTATTTAAGGATGGAGGGTGAACAGTGTAATGTTGCTGTTGATAACACAGATTTGTCTGCAGCAGTGGGTCATTGTGTGAAGACAAAAGCACTGACTCAGGCTACAGTAGCAGACAATCAGGAGGATAAATCTGTGTTTCTTTATAAAACAGCTTATCTGACCTTGTTTTTTTTTTATTATTTTATGTCAAATTTAATGTGTCAATATTCCAAAATCATACACCTCACCAATGCTTTACCCTGTTTGCAGGCAGGGAGGGGCAGTTTGGGTGGGGATGGAGACATTTGATTGCAGCTATCATTTTTAATTCATAGGATACAGCAGAAAATGTATTTTTAATGTATTTTTAGGATTTTTTAAACAGAAATTACTGCAACACAATGCTTCATTTCAACATGACATTAAATACAAAGGGCTTATTTAAATAAACACACAACATCTCTTAATTGATTTCATCCTAACAGATAATTTGATGTGGATTATTTGCAGATTTCTTTGATTTTTTTAAAGAGTTGTGTTCGAGGGGGGTTGGGTGGATTCTGTTTTCACCCCAAGCATCCGCTGTGATTTTGCATCCTCAAGGCACGAGAGCAAGTGGAATATTCCAGACTCATGATGTGCATGCGCAAAAGAATTTGCATTCTGCTTATGCTTGCAAAAGAGGGAGAGTGTGGGATGAAAAGACAAGAGGACAAAAAAAAGACTGGAGGAAAGACGAGAGCAGCGTCCTGCCTCGGCGGGGGCTGCTGTCAGGCATTTTTTTGTCCCCTGCCGATTGTGGTGCAGGGAGGTGCCTCCTGCTGCACTGCCTGTTAATCTCAGATAGGGGGAGCAACTGAATGTTCACAGCTCCAAGATGCAATTATTGTTTTAGGTTTCATGTAAAAGCCAGCAGTTTCAGTATGTAAAGGAATTAAAGCTGAATGGAGTCAATAACCTCCCTGTTTTTTCTTTCCTCCAGCGTGAGTGTATCTCTATCCACGTCGGTCAGGCCGGTGTCCAGATCGGCAATGCCTGCTGGGAGCTTTACTGCCTGGAACATGGGATCCAGCCGGACGGACAGATGCCCAGTGACAAGACTCTTGGCGGAGGAGACGATTCCTTCAACACCTTCTTCAGTGAAACTGGAGCCGGAAAGCACGTCCCCAGGGCTGTTTTTGTGGACCTTGAGCCCACTGTCATCGGTAAGTGTAATTCTCTTTAGCTTAACATTAACTCAGGCAAATGGAAAGTGAAATATCTGATAATTATAAACCACAACTGATGCAATGTCTGTTTTTTGTCCTCTTAGATGAGGTGCGCACTGGGACCTACCGCCAGCTCTTCCACCCTGAGCAGCTGATCACCGGCAAGGAGGATGCTGCCAACAACTACGCCCGCGGACACTACACCATCGGCAAAGAGATCATCGACCTGGTGCTGGACAGGATCCGCAAACTGGTAAATTCAGAGCAGAAGGAGTTCAGATTTTGCTCCAGAATATCAAAATTAAAGGCCATTACTGTATTTCATATGTGATCGTTATCTCTCCCTCTCTGTCCTCAGGCTGACCAGTGCACTGGCCTTCAGGGCTTCCTGGTCTTCCACAGCTTCGGAGGTGGCACCGGCTCTGGTTTCACCTCCCTGCTGATGGAGCGTCTGTCTGTCGACTACGGCAAGAAGTCCAAGCTGGAGTTCTCCATCTACCCAGCTCCTCAGGTGTCCACCGCTGTGGTGGAGCCCTACAATTCCATCCTGACCACCCACACCACCCTGGAGCACTCTGACTGTGCCTTCATGGTGGACAACGAGGCCATCTACGATATCTGCCGTAGGAACCTCGATATCGAGCGTCCTACCTACACCAACCTGAACAGGTTGATCAGTCAGATTGTGTCCTCCATCACTGCTTCCCTTCGTTTTGACGGCGCCCTCAATGTTGATCTGACAGAGTTCCAGACCAACTTGGTGCCATATCCCCGTATCCACTTCCCTCTTGCCACCTACGCCCCTGTTATCTCAGCTGAGAAGGCTTACCACGAGCAGCTCTCAGTGGCTGAAATCACCAACGCCTGCTTCGAGCCAGCCAATCAGATGGTGAAATGCGACCCTCGCCACGGCAAGTACATGGCTTGCTGCCTACTGTTCCGTGGTGATGTGGTGCCCAAAGACGTCAACGCTGCCATTGCCACCATCAAAACCAAGCGCTCCATCCAGTTTGTGGACTGGTGCCCCACTGGTTTCAAGGTTGGCATCAACTACCAGCCGCCCACCGTAGTTCCTGGTGGAGATCTGGCCAAGGTCCAGAGGGCTGTGTGCATGCTGAGCAACACCACTGCTATTGCAGAGGCCTGGGCTCGGCTCGACCACAAGTTCGATCTGATGTACGCTAAGCGTGCCTTTGTTCACTGGTATGTGGGTGAGGGTATGGAGGAGGGAGAGTTCTCTGAGGCCAGAGAGGACATGGCAGCTCTGGAGAAGGATTATGAGGAGGTTGGAGTTGACTCCATTGAGGGTGAGGGAGAGGAGGAAGGAGAGGAATATTAAAAGGAACATAAAGGCATTAGTTAAGCAGGAAATGATTGATTTGCAATGTGTTCTTGAATGCATTCTAAACAGAAATGTTTGTCTATCAGTTACCAGTTTGGCTCTGTTCTAAATAAAATTCCTGTGACATGTGAATTTTTTTGTCTGTTTTTAATTCAACCTAAATATATATTGAGTGCATAGTCCTACAAAATGTTGAAATTCTAAAATGTTGAGCTATACCATGTAATCAAGTCGTAGACTCATATATAACACCTAGTTAAAGTTAGCATGTTGATGCTAGATGGGTCCTCAACTGTAGTCCAATGCTGTTCTTCTGTTTCCATTTACTGATTTCTGAAGGACTTCTGATTAATATTGGTTTAATGTATGAAAAATGACATGTATATGTCTCAAGTGAACTCTGAAGCTGTATATTTGCTTACTATGTGAAGCTCTAACATGATTTATAAGGATTATTTTCACCAAAATGTTTGAATGTTATGATATCAAGCCTGTGATTATAATAGAGCCTTTATTTACTGGAGGAATGGGAGGAGTCTTTCTGGATGTTAGTTTTTTAAAACATGGATGAGTTTTGGGTGGGATTAGAGGGTCTATCTCATCTTTTTGTGTCATAAATCACAGTAAAGCAAATCTGTTTTGACCAAAGTTTATTGGAAAAACACTCAAAGTCAGTTTTGTCCAAATAAAAGCACACACTTTTAACTAGCTTCAAGTAGGTACAAAAGATCAGGGCATGTCTAATAATAGTAATTCCAGGAAATTTGATTGAGAACCCAAATATTACACACTCATGAATTTGTCATTTAGAAAATATGTAAAAAAACAAACCAAAAAAAAGTATAAAAAGACCTCCCAGGTGTCTATAACTTCATCATCAATCATAAGTTGCTTTGTTTTGCTGGTGATGGTTTACACCGGTCTGTCCTGCAGCAGAGGGCAGTTGTCCACAGCTCCCCGTTTGTTCAGAAGACTCCAGAACATCGAGGCTCCAGAGCAGCTGTGAACCCGGTCGGGCTGCGGGCCGGCAGACACAATCAGGTCCTCCTTCAGAGGGCGGTAGGACTTAAAGCGCCTGTTGAGTAAAACACAAAATCCAGACAGGTTGTTTGAACTAGATGTGTTTTACAGATAACGTACGAATGTAAAAACATGCCACAATTATATACAATATATAAATGGAAACAAGCTGTGAACACAAAACAGACCTATTATCACCTATTGAGCTGTTATAGTGAGAGTTTTCTGCCTATTTAGACATCAAGCAGACATGGAGCAACATTAATATACTCTTAAAGTTGTGTTTCTAGCCACTTTAAGGATGTAAAACCAATATTCACACTCTTTTTAGCTTTATTTTGGTCTCCAGTACTTCCTATGTCATTTTCTGCTAAATGATAAAAAGCATCTAGCTGCTAACTTAGTGTGGGTTTTTACTTATAACAGCTGCTTGCTGAGGACGGGAATTACGCTATGAGAGCATAGACTGTATAATTAAAAATAGACATAGTCTCTGTGACGTCATAGATTTCTATAAAGTGCTCGGTGTGGGTGCCATCTTGGCAGTCCTGACTCAGCCGGTTCTTGGCTAATCCAGAAATGGGCTGACGTGGAGCTAAGGTGGGCTGAATGAAGTCTGAAAACAGCCGCCTGTGATGGCTGAAAGTGGTCATGTGCTTAGTTATAAAGCTCTGTAGAATTGAGGGCAACTAGAGAGTTGGGTGACCTTTCAAATTTGATCCATTGTTAACATAAGAGATAGCGACTTGGAGGACTAGTTTCAGCTGCGGATTAATACACACTTTGACCTCTAGTGTGTATTCAGCAGCAGGGTGGTGTTTTTAATAGTTTTTGGGAACATATGCAGGATGATGCAGCTAAGGTGCTTCCTGTTTTTATATGTGTTTCCTGTATTCACTGTGTTTCACGCCCTTTTTCTGTATTTTTGTGTGTGTTGTTACAAGTATTTCTTCTATTTGTTTATTTCCCAAGAGGTGGAGCTTCTGCCACCAGAGTGAGCACAGGTGTTTTGCATACTGCCAGTGATTAGGACTGCTTATTTGCACATGCCTGTCTGTGAGAGAGTTAGTCATGCCTGGGATATAGTGCATGGGTCTGGGCCTTTGTTGGCAAATATACAATGTAATCAAAGTTATCCCTTAAAATAAATAAATTAGATTCTGTATAATTACAAAAAAAAATCAGCTCTTACTTGTAAGAATATGCCACTATTCCTACTGCTAGGACGAGTACCAAGACACCCAACACCATGCCGACAGTGCCCAGAGAGGACAGACCTGACCCTGTAACAAAGATCACATTATGGGTGAGCAGGATAAAGCAGAAATGTGCTGCATTGTCAAACCAAACACTGAAATGTGTGGACCGTTGTGTGGTGGTTGTGATGCGTACCCATGTCGACGCTGACTTTGGCACTGGCTGCAGCTAAACTGACGTCATTGGCCATGGACACGTTGATGCAGTAGATGCCAGAGTCGTTGAAGAAGTGACGCAACACCAGCTGGCACTCTTTGGAGGGCTCCACCATGTTGCACGCCGTGTGAATCGGCCTCAAGCACTCTGCATCCAGAATCACGGTGCACACCTCTTTCGGAAGGCTGGAGAGAGACGATACAAGGTAGTTTATTTCATTATATAACACAAGGTTGCACAATGAAAAGGAAGTTGTAGTCTCTTCATGCTAGACCCACAAAGAACACAACAGATAATTAAAAGCAGGGTCCCAAATAGACCCAGGTCTCATTTAGAGGCCTGGTCTGGATTTTATAGAAATTCTTTGGATGTATAAAACCTCTTATCGTCTACATACATATAAATGTTTCAACTTTTGTCAATATGCTACACATGCATATAGATGGGTTGCCCCAACACTGGATGAGATTAGCATAAAGTGGGCATGTCTGCAAAGGGGAGACTTGTGGGTACCCTTGGAAGCTATTTTCATTCCGATATCTTGAGGTCAGAGGTCAAGGGAATCCCTTTTGAAATTCGCCAAAATATAGCCTCAATTTGGAGCGTTATTTAGCCCCCTTCCCAACATGCTAGCATGGCATGGTTGTTAACAATGGATCCTTCATATGGAACCAAAATCTAACTTTAAAACAGAGCTCACTACAGCCTCTGAAAGACAGAGTAGAGTGGAAGAGGAAACGACAACGGGGACATGTTACACATCGTTAGATCAGTTAGATTCTCCACAGTTTAACCCTTAAGTTGACTTTATGGAAACCATCATAATCCATTATGTTATTTGATAGCCTACATTTTCATACAAGTAATATTCAGACAGGTTTAAATAAACAATCTGATAATATTTCTATCTTTGCAAGAGTGCAAAATGAATTAAAGGCTTGTCCTATATAGACGCCTGTTTCAAATACAGGCAGGTTGAGTTCAGCAAATAACAGCCCAGGATATTAATTAAAGTTTTGTTCCAGTGGTTCAAAATAGACAATAAAATGCTTGTAAAAGAAACAAAGTGTTGTATTATTTGATAAATTGCAGGTGTAGTCACCTTCCCTGGCAGGTAACAGTGATGTCCAAAACATTTTTGTCCATCTCAGGCGTCGCAAACACGGCATTGTCCATTTGTACAATCTCTACTTTCTCAATTCCCTCTGAAAACAAAGACAAGAAGAACAGGACGGTCACTTAACAATCACCTCCGAGGTTTTCATTTTACAGCTCGACAAACGTGACACTGATGAAGGGATGAACTCACCAAACACTTCAATGCCAGTGCAGAAGGAGCCATAACGATATATGACACAGTCATCGTCGGAGGGTTTATCTCCAGCAGCCCTCTTAGCAACTACTTCCACTGTAGCTTGGCCCGTCAGTGTCACCGTTCGCTTTCCACCTGGAAAATAAACAGCAGCAGGGAGTTAATACGCTGATAATAGATCCTTCTTGACATTTATATTAAGGAATAATCATTTATAGTCTCATTTTATGCTTGTTCTGCTTGGTTTAGTGGTTTGATAGCTACATTTGTGATGCACAATAACATTGTTTAGCATTAACTGAAAGCATGATGTTGGTAGTAGTGAGTTCCTGCCTCAGTGAGCCCGCTCCTGAATATTTGTGTTCACAGTATGGTTGAGCGAGTACTGGGCTGGATCCAGTATACGGTACAGATAATGTACTTTTTACAGGTATGAGTATCAAACAAGCACAGGTAGTAAACGTTTTAAACCCTGCTCTAACACCAGGGTCAAAGTGCTTTCATGCATTATGCCTCCTGTATATGTATGTAGCTAGAAACCTTGTTTTTTATTGCTGTATTGTTGAATAGCCTTTCATCCGATATCAAGTTGACACAAACAGGTTATTATTAGCAATTTACTTGAGCTATTTATTATTTAACATGTTACCAACATGGTTGTTTTGTAGCTCTATAAATAATTCAGATGATACAAGAAAAACTGAGCCGACCACGTCAGTCAGCATGTAAATCTGAATTCAAACGATGAAGCAGAATAGAGTGACTCATTCTGCTCGTTTGATACAATGACAGTGCTTCTTTAAAGATTTACATCACATTTACATTTTAGGAAATCAGCTCTTATCTGGTTCATCTGGCAGCTGCTCTAAACTCATTATTTTTCACTTTAACATGACACACTGCTGTAGTTGCACGTACTTCCTCTGGTGGGGATTCAACAAGTGACCTTCTGGTAAAATTATTCTCTGGTAAATTATGTTCAAGCAGTTATTTAAATAAATAAATACAATAAATAAACGTACTTGCTGCAAGCCCGGTCTGTGCTTCACTGTCAGCTGGCAGGACAGGGTTGACGGGGGAGGGAGTTTTGGCCACCCCGGGTGTTTCCTGGGCAGGTTGAGGGGTGGAGGCAGTGGAGGCCTCATCCTCAGTGTTGTCCTCCTCTGTGTCCGAAGGCACCAGGTTGACGTTCAGGCCAGTTGACTTGGTGGAAACCAGTATGGGGACAGCAGACGCCAGTGCAGGAGCTTTCACTACACACAGGGAAGATTGTTGATTTAGGTCTGTGCTTCAGTAAGATGTATGAATGTGGAGCTGAGGTACATGGGTACAAAATGTTGGAAATATTATTACAGCTTTTAACTTTTAATGAATAATTGGACATTTTATGCTGCCAACCGTATCACCGTGCAGAAGGAAGGCTGCATTTTTCAGTTCACTAATGTTACACCTCAGATGAGGAGGCCACTATTAAAGTTTACATCATGGACAGTTTTTTATAGTGGACAGAGCTTCCAAGTTAAGTGTCCTTAACATGCAGTCTTTCAAATGGCCAGCAGGGGGCACCTCAATTGGTTGCAATAAACCACCGATACCATGCAGTCTTATGGTGAAATGAACCTAGTTCTGACTTGATTTATGAGCTTCTAATGAGTTTATGGTCTCAATCTTTAGTCCCAAGTCTTCTTCCATACAGCATGATGTTCATTTAGTAAATGATGGTCCCATTTGGAGTAAAATAGACCATAAAGCAGGGTATGCTTCAAGTGTGGGGCTACCTTGTGATTGACAGCTCATTCTCACTCAGATCAAACTGTCAAACTAGGCAGTGCTGATCAAATATGGATCCAGATTCTGTTACTGCATTGACTATTTCTCACCTAAAATAGTCTCACAAACACATTTTAGTAAACTGTTGTTCACTGTTGAACAACTATTGTTGGTGTAATACAAGATCGTGTGCGACCAGGCGAGCTGCCATTGTTTTCCTGTTGCAGATGAGTAGATGCACGCTTCATTCTGCGCAGTCATACGTAGAAAGAAAATAGTTCCGACATGAAACTGCTCACAACAAGGTCTGTGGATTATCTTGAGTAACCAGGTCATGGTTGCTGTTGTACGTTTTAGTGCTGGTATCTCTAAAACTCACACCAAAACAATGGAAGTGGATAAATAGCACCACAGGTCAGGTTGATTTTGGGGTGAACTGTCCCTTTAAGTGCTGGAACTACACCATCTATTCCTTACCTGTGGTGCCTCGATCAGTGGGTGGACCGGGGGCCTTGGTCGGGGTACCAACGGGTGGGTCGCAGGCCTTATCTGGGATCACCGCCTGGATCACCACCTGAGGTTTGAATGAGCCGGAGCTGATGTAGGTGTGAGTGACAGTCAGCTCTCTGGATATGAGGGCTCCACTTTCATCCCCAAAGTCCCAGTTGAAGGTGATGTCTGCGTTGCTGAGGTACTGGCTGGGGTCGTGGAGGGTGATGGTGAAGGCGATCGCCCTGTTCTGGATGAAGCGCATGTCCCCGGCCACAATGTCGTTCACTTGATCCAGAGAGACGGCGAAGGGGATTTGATCTGAGGAGAACAACAAAGAATGATGTTGACAAAATAAACAGGCGATAGCTGCAGTTTACAGCTTATAGTATGATATTAAGTACTCATAAAACACATTGCATATAAAGTTTTTTGCTGTTTTTTGCTTGTTAGATTTATTATATAGTTTAAAAAGAGATCCTGGTTGATTAGTGTCTAATAATTCAGCATTTTATCTTATTTATTGCATATTTCTGTTGACATGAATCCCCCTGTTCGTTTCAAGGTTTAATAATATGCACCTGTTTCATAAACCAGTAGATAAACTAAATAAACTAGTCAAAGATGTGTATAACATAACAATCAAGTAGCTAATTAGTTCTTCTAGCAAAAATAGCTAAATGTTTTTACTCATTTATTCTGTTTTGCTTCAGAAAGCAGAAAAGCAACAAATTAAATTAGATGAATAAAGTCAGACCATAAATTTGATGTAAATTTAGCTTCTTATACTAACATTTAATTATCCGTAACTAAACTAAATTGCGATAACTGATTAATTTGGCCACTAGGAGGCAGCAGAATCGAGTTATGAACACGACATTGACATAGTTTCACCTTTTTAAGTTGATATTGTGAACTTCAGCAGCAAACAGTTGCTTATTTTTGATCTCCACCAACTCCTGAGTGAAATATCGCTGCTAAATGCTAGTTTACAGTAGATTATCAGAGCTTTTTCTCTGAAAACAGCTGCCTTCAGGTAATAATTCTGGGTGGATTCATCACTAGACACCTTTCACATTGTCATTCAGTTCATTGTTATTATAAAATCGTTTATTATAGCAGCTTTTAAGCTTTTTTATATGTATAATTTTGCATGTAAAACCTAATTCCTGTTTACATAAAAGGAGGATTTACTGGTAGTGTAGTGTTTAATTGCAGATAAATATGTGTTTGCCATAAATATACTAAATATACAAAATTATATTTAGTATATTTTTTCCTCTTTTAGTTATTAATGGTTAAATAAGTTCTACCCCTTCAATACTCTCCGGTTAAATATGTTATTATTAAGTAGATTGTTCATACCGTCTCTAACTCACCAGTGATGGAGAACTGAGTGGAGGCGTATCCCAGAGGAATAAACTTCTCCTTGCTGCGGTAGTGGTAGATAACGATGTCCATGGTGTAGGAGCCCAGTGGGATGTCATCTGTATCGATGGTCAGGGAGGAAGAGCAGCCGTCGGCCACCTGCCAGTACTGACCTGCCAAATGAGCATCCAGAGATTAAAGAGTGCATGTGAGACACTTTCCTGTCTTTTCACTACAAATATATATAAACACTTTATTAATTAATCTAATAATATCAGGTTAAAATAAATGTTCTTTGTATGATGCGTTCAGGGTTGCCTTGTTTATATGAATACTAACACAAGTACACTCATGAAGTGATGGATAATCAATAAGCAGATTGCATACTCATTATGTAAACTTCTTAATATAACACTTTTTTGGATATAACATCACTGAGGCCTCGTGCTTCCAGTCATGCAATGTCTGAATCCCAAAACTAAAAGGCTTGGATTGTTGTTTTTTTTAGGTATAATGAAGTGACATAATCTGATCATATGATACGGCTCATACATAATCCATCCTGGGTCATACTTCAGGCCAAGGTTTGTGCCACAAGGAACTCTGTGACCCTCTGTGAACATAACTCAGAGGCGACAGCACCACTCACCCCAGGTCTTCCAGACAAACACGTAGTTCGGCTTCTTGTCCTTCTTAACCGGTGACCCATCAGGGAAAACCGCTTCCCAGTCTGTGTTCTGAGTTGGGTACACTGGCTCAGACCCGTGGTACTTTGTTCCTGCAGCAGGAGAAAGAGACTTGTGACTGTGTTATAACGGCTGTTTGAGCTCAGACAGTCCACTAATCCCAGTGTGCTTACATGCTCACAATGACAATAGAGGTGTTTAGTTTAATTTGTACGTTTTTGGTCATGAACTAAAGAATTAAACTGATGATGGTGCAGAATATCACCAAAGTTATTACAATTCATCCTGAGAGGGACAGAGTGTGTGTGTGTGTGTGTGTGTGTGTGTGTGTGTGTGTGTGTGTGTGTGTGTGTGTGTGTGTGTGTGTGTGTGTGTGTGCGCACATGCTGTGTTACCATTGACTACGCAGTCTTCGGCCCAAACGACGTCTCCATCCGGCTGCACCTTCTGGTTGTGTGGGAACTCCAGGTCGATGGTAAAGGTAACTTTGGCTGCAGTCAGAGTTGGTGAATCGTTCCCTACATTGAAAGTCACTCTTCCACCTGGACGAAGAAGACGTGAAAACACTGAGCAATGGACACAAAATGTACATTTCTGTGCGTCCTCAAAAACCTTAATTAACTTTTTTTTTTAAAGTATATATTAATGGGGCAGCCGTGGTGTCCTATAGAGGGTTAATAAGACCATTTAATGAGTCCTAACAAACATTAAAAAAGTCAATACAATCTCTATCTCCCCTCATTTCAGGTCTCTACTGTCACTAACAAAAAAGCCCCAAAAATACTTTAAAAAGATAGTTTAAGTAAGAAATTATGAATATTTGATAATCATAATCTGTGATTATACCAACAATATTACAACAGTTGTACCTTTCCAGGAGTCTTTGTATCTCGGGTCTCCATCTTTCCAGATTGGGTACATCTTAGTGTTCCATGATGGATAGCGAGTGAAGCGGTTTTTGGGCTCTGACGGATCAAACCATGAACATATTGTATTAACAGAAGGTGAACACATGAACTTTTTTTTTTTTTTTTTTTTTTTAAATTTTTTAAAAAAAAGTTTTAGTATTACATTTATAGTAACTTACAATAGAGACAGCTGAACATGTGAAATCAAGATTAAAAACTAAATTAAACTAAACTAAATTAAACTTTCCCTTCGAAGGAACTTCCTATTTCCACTTTAAATATCTACCAGAGTGACTTCTTATTAGTTTTACAGTTGTCCCAACTACATTTCTGGCCTTGATAAATATATATATTTACATATGTGTGTATATTTCTATGTTATAATTAGATGAATGTGACTGAGGGTGCCCACTTAAATGTCTTTTTATTGCCAATATAACTCTCTCCTCCCTCCAATCCCTCTCATGTGATGCTCAGCTGAGCGTGTGCATGATTTTATCACAGATTAACAATGTCACAGGGCTGAATTTGGATTAAACATAGTGGCTGATAACAGAGCTAATCGTCAGCTGAATCAGAGTTATGAATGTGATTATGAATTCAGTAATCACTGCTTTTCTTCTCGTATGACTAAACTTGATGCCAAATGGGGGGGAATGTATTTCTCTGCCTTTTAAATATTGTTTCTATCTGTTCGAATGTTTACATTGAAACAGTTATTGGTTGTAACTATAACTCCTTCTCTCCATACTGGCTCTTTATTGATAACTCTTTTAATGTGTGTAACATTTTAAGACAGACAATTTGAATTTGTCCTTTAACTTCAGAATAAAAAGGATTAAGATAAACAGCCTTTGCTTTAGAGGGTCACATTCTGTGTCGTTTACATTCATGCATGGTTGAGTAAAGAGGTCATGGGAACTCGACTCAGATCTTATAGACTAAAACATTTTACCTAAATGGATTTACTTGCATATAAGGAAAGAAAATGATGATGAAACCCGAATTGATTTGATTTTGAATCACAATTTTTGACCTTTTTAAGGTTTGAGTACAGAGCTCATTAAAACTGTGACTGAGATATAGATTAAAAAAATAAAATAATAGTCAATTTAGTGAATATTGTCTTAAAATGTATGAAGGTTTACATTAAATCTACACAGTGTAACACCATGATTACGACACTGACTGTGTAATGATGAATAATGTAAAGTGCTGTTTGTCGTCTGTTTATCTTTTGGAAAGCAGCGGTGTGGACACAGGTCACATGACAAATGTGATGACTTTATACTGGAGACAGAATCAAAAAAGATTTGGACTTTAACACCAATGACTTAATTTAGCCTCAAACTTTTTGACTTAGACTAAGACTTAGACTAGATTCCTCTCCCCGAAGATTAAAAGGTGTTATTTAAAGGACCAGTGTGAAGGATTTAGTGGCATCTAGTGGTGAAGCTGCAGATCACAACTCGCTGAGAGTGAACTGCGGGGGCCACAAAGTGTGCAAAACACAATTCTTAGGTGATTATACACTAATGAAAACATAACTATGAATATTATATATCATTTCTGCCAATAGAGTCTCCTAAATGTTTCACACTTGACCTTGAAAAAAGTGCCACGAATAAATTCACTCTATTCATTCAGCTCTTAATTCCCCGGATCCACTTTGTTTGAACTAATCCGACAGCATCCAATCAAATTGCAGGAGAGACTCACAAATAACGAACGTTACATGACGAAGAAATAATACCAAAGACTGAATTTACAGACAGAATTGTGTTCGCGTATAAAAACTTTGTGGTGATCTCTTTGTTGTATTGTTTAGGACTCAGAACTCAAAGTTTAGGACTTGAGTGTTAAGACATGAGACTTTGTGACTTGATCTCCCTTCTGGTAAAAGTAACTTTTACACAAGTATTTTTTTGTAGTATTTTTATGCTACTTTACATTTATACTACAAATATTGTACTTTTTACTCTACTGCATTTATTTGACAGTTTTAGTTTCTTCTTGATCAAATGCAAGAACAAAATTGTGCACCAGTAATAATAATCCAATATTATAATATATAATAGTGCGTAATTCACAGTCCTGAATTATACTAGTAATACATTAATTAAGATAAAAGATGTCTGAACTGTGTTTATGTCTGAAACTACCGTCTTATCGTCCCTTTAAGACATATTTTCTCCTTTTATTGTGTTAAACTGCTTCCATGTGTCTAAAATTCAGTTTATTGTTTCCTAAAACTAAACTTAAACCAAAACTAGGTGTAAAAAAACATTTTAGTTAACCCGAAATAAAAAATAAAAGCTAACTGAAATTACATTTTTTTTAAAAATGTCTTTAGTTTTCATCTTTAGTCAAATGTGTCGACACAAGAGCACAAAAAAACCTCATATTTTAATTTAAAAAAACCTAAAACTTATCTGGAAACTAATAAAAACTTAACTAAAAGTAAACATTTTAAACATTTTTAAAGAATAAAAATTAAACTGAAACAAGCAAATCCACTCTGGAGACTTAAAACAAATTAAAAACTATATATATATATATAAATAATGTATATGTATATAATAACTAGTTCTGTACTCACTTGCCGCAGTGTGTGAAGCCACAACCAGCAACACCAGCAGAACAACAGACGCCCGCATTGTCAGCGCACCTTTTTCTCTACGAAATATCCCTTTTGTGAGCATCAGGTAACAGAAATCAGTCTTTATAAACTCGCTGATGTTTGACCTCAAACTGGAGAAGAAACGCCTCCTTCCTCATGAAGTGCCCCCCCCCATCCTCCTCCTGCAGACCGACCCTCCTCCAATCAGACTTATGGGGGCACCTGGACCGACTGTGTATGTGTATTTACAGTAAAAGTGGGTCTTTGGGGGGGATTACAGTTGTACATATAGTAGAAAAAGAAAGCCACATAATCACATACAAATGTTGAATTTCACACGTTTTTTCTTTAAGGAAACAGATTGAATCACGAGACGTTTGTGTAAATCGTACAAAAGAAACAACTTTAACCCTCTGAATCTGTACATATAATGGAACTAGTACTTTTACTCAAGTACTGTACTGAAATATTTAGATTTTATGCTAATTCATTTGTATTTTTACACCATTAACCTTTACTAAATTAAACAATATTGTTACTTTGTAGATTAATTTACCTACAAAATAAATAAATATGATGCATTCCTAATGATTAAATCACCAAACAGTGTATATAAAGTAGTGAATTAACTCCATGTTGACCAGATTAAAACATAAAAATGCTGCTCACACATGAATGCATCAGTATTAATGATCAAATAATATAAAATATAATGATATAATACAAAGAGGCATTATTTTTTTCTGCTAATATTTGTGTACTTTTTACTTAAATAACCGGTTGAATGTATGAATTAAGTATTTTTACATTTCACATTTACTAAAATAAAGAGTTAAAATACATATAAATGCTGTATGATTATATATGTGTTAAAATAAGATATTTTACACTAAAACCAAACTTTTTATTGTTTTCTCATGTTGGTTTGGTGGTATTTTGATGCCTCTATCAGTGTAATAAATGTATAAATATATTGATTAAGTCTGTTTAAAGCCCAGTACAATACTACAGGCTCCTTATTAGATCACAAGGGTTATATTATCATGGTTTTTTTGGGGGGGGAGGTGCCAATTCCACAAAGCATGTGCTTTCAAACACAATATGAACAGTCACCTAAATCTCTGCCACAATCACCTGACCCCATTTTGGGCTGCCCCTCTAATTATTCCTAATTATGTGCGGATTTACTTTGAGATTCGTGTTGCTGCGTGATGATTAACCACCATCAAATCTCGCCAAAAACTTCTTCATATTTGTTCTTCTTCATATCAAGTTTGATTAACTGTATTTAAATATGATGAATTATTAAAAGTGTAACCTGGAGTCTGTTAATTTCTGTGTCATTACCGGTCACACAGTCTGTTAAAAGGGGCCGTGCATTGAGGAATGCAGCGTTAATGAGGATTATTGAAACACTTGTGACTCCCTAAATTCATCCGGCTTTGTCTTTTCTACCTCCCCCCGAGAACTAAAAAGTAACTCTGTTAAAAGATTTTTTTGTCTCCGTGTAAAATGCCAAACTGTGACACCGTTTAAACCTCTTTTTTTTTTTAAACAATGTCAGCATTCACGGGTAAATCCCCTTTTCTAACCCGTTTCATCTGTTGTTACCGTGAACCCTTTAACTTCCTGCTGGCCTCGTACATGTACGCAGCCGTAACAGGATAATAATGTGAGAATACTGTAACTACACGTCATCTCAGTACAGTTTATAAAAGCTTATCCACAGCATACATCAGAAGGAAAGTCTGACATATTGGCACACACACATTTCTTTCTGAGTGTAAGATGAGGAGATTGATACCACACGAGTTTCAGGGATAACGTTAGTCTCCAGATCTGTACTGTAACTTAATTAATCCAACAAAAGTAATGTAACTAATTCTTTTTAGGGGGAGTAACTGTAATATTGTTACTGAACTGTATTTATAATTAGTTACAGAATCAGAATCACTATTATTGGCCACATACAAAGGAATCTGACTCTGGTTTTATGTCGCTCAACAACCTCAACAAAATAAAATAGACTACTGTTTTATATTTATAAATATATATTAACAATAACTTTTGTAGACGGTGCAAAGGATGCTGAAATATATTTGTGCAGGTTTCTTTATGTACGAGGTAGTTACAGACTTTGGTAGATGTGTTTGAATTATTGTATTTATGTTTTATGTTAAAAAGAAAACTGAATTTTAACAATGAAAAAGATAATATATTAGTATTTACTGGGTAAAGTAACATTATTACTGTAATCTTATTACCAGTGTTGGGCAGTAACTCAGTACTAGTTATAATATTACTTTCCCCACTGACTAGTAGTGTAACTAATTACTAATAAAGTTCAGTTATAAATAAATACAAATAATTAGTGACAATATGACTTTTGTTGTCACAGTCTAGTGACATGAAATCCAATAATCACATCCTTGGTTTCATTTTAGAAGATGGAAAATATTAGTTATATAAAGTAATATAACTAGAAGTGTAACTAATTACTCTTTAAATATTCACATTACTTTGATTTTAACAAACAAAACTGGATTTTAATCATCGTAAGTCTGAATTTTCAGGAGAAACGACACAAATACTAATTTTGTGGGTAGCAGTATAGGTAGTGTAACTAATTACTGTTGAGTAATAAGTAAAGTAATTACATTACTTTTTTTAAAAAGAGTAATGAATAATATATAACTTTTTAGAGTAACTAGCCCAACACTGATTACAACCCAATCAGCGCCGCTGTGTACCCGACCGCCTGCAGTTCGTCCGTCCGTCCAGCGGGCGGCGCTGTGTAAGAACGGCGCTATAGCGGCGGGGTGGAGCGGCCGAGCGGCTCCGGTGTGACCGCAGGAAGCGATACAGCCACAAAGAAAGATGGCCGAAGTGATCGAGCTGCAGAAACTGAAGGTTGGTGGAGTTTTAAAAATGTGTCTTTATTTCAAACATCAGGTGAGTTTATCAGACACACAGTTCCTGCGGCGGGACTTAGCCACGGTACCGGAGAGCCGGTGAGCCGGTAAACGGGCCGTTGGAAGAATAATTAATAATAATAATGTTCACGTTGTGATGCTAAGCTAACGAGCTCTGTCCCGGTAAATCAACGTTACCGGTAACTTAACGTGTTTAATTCATTAAAAAAAACATCAGCGCGTTAAAACACCTTTAAATGCAGCAATAATAATAATAATAATAATAATATTTAATTTATAATAATCCACTTTTATTTATTTATTTCTAATAAAACTTTCAAAGTAAAAGCACTGCTTGTAATTATTATTTATCTTTTATTTTGTTAAAACTCTTTTACACGAGAAACTAAATGTGTTGAAGTTTTTAAAACTGGATTACTGAACTAAGTACTAAATATTACAGTTACTCTTTACTGAATCACAGCCTTGGATTATTTTTTATTAATTAACAGTTTATTTTATTGTGAAAGTTCATCAGAGTTGAGTTTTATTGATATTTTTAGGAACTTTTTGTACATTTTTCTTTGTTAATATGCTTCTTTTGTGGCAGATTCTCATTGTTTTATTTACTCTTGGGTTGTTTGAACCCTTTTAATGAAGAATGAGGCTGTTTGTCAGATCTTAAATAATAATTTAAACTTAAAAAAACAAACAATTTAATTAAGTTTTCTTCCCAGAAATGAAAGAAATACTTGAGATAAAAACATACGGTTTACGCAACACCCTGTGAAGCTTTGGCGACCCCTTAGTGAGGGCCCCGACCCCCAGGTTGGGAACCACTGTCCTGTTTCAGTTTTATCTGAGACTACATTGTACTAGTTGTCCCCAGTGAGAGGAGAGGAGAGGTCGAGGGTTGATGTATTAAAACGTACCGATTCTGTCTCTCTCTTGTCGCTTTAGCTTGCTGAACTGCGGCAGGAGTGCGAGGCCCGAGGTCTGGACACCAAGGGAAACAAAGGAGAGCTCATTGCTCGACTGCAGACCTACCTGGAGGAGCACGGTGAGGCCAAACACCTCCTCACATTGAGACTCACTCAAATATCTACATGGACTATTATCAGGGACAAAAAGACACAAATAATTGTTGTTGTGGGTGAATTTATGATTTGAGCGACGGGTAGCAGTGAGACTCTTCGTAAGTCCTTATTGTGATCTCTCTCTCTCTCTCTCTCCTGACCCTCTTGCATTCTGGTTGAACAGAGGACGATGTGGACGTAGACGACGTGCTGGCAGAGGATACAGAGGTAAGGTTAATACTTTATGATCCGAGCTCTTTCTCTTCCCCTCTCTCTGACTCTGCGAGGTAATGACGAATGTTTCCGTTCTCCTTTTCAGGACTTCACTAAAGTCGAGGCTGCCAACGATGTAAAAGTCGACAAGGATTCTGAGTCTGCTACCGAGGGCGAGACGTACGTTGTTTTTTGGTCACGTTGGTCTATATAGAATAATAAACAAATGAAATATGTTTTAATTAGTGAGTTATTTCCCAAAAGTGCAGCTACAACTGAGTTGAGGCAACAAAATGTAAAGTTTGTAGGGAATACAGTTTATTTTTATGACGCTTGTCCACTTCTGACGCACTTCAGCTTGTGTTTCTAGAGTTACGTGATGTTACAGACGCGTAAGGATTTATTAATGTGATATCTTTTGCTTTTTTTTTGTTTAATTTAAACCACTAATAAGTACATTGTTTAACGTTTTTGACTGCTGTTAGTTTATAGTTTGATTAACACGTTCTTTACATGTTTTATTCTTTCAGGCCAACTGAGAAGAAGGTGGTGAAAATAACTCCTCCAGCATCTGCCACTGAAGTACGTATGACCTGTTTGCGCGCACTCATAATTAAATCCAGTGGTGAAGTGCGGCGTGTACGCAGACACACACTTATTCAGTCTGCATTGGGTACCTGCTTCTAAAAGTCAGGACGTAGTTGACAAGTTTTCACGAGTAGATGGAGGTCAGGAATGAGGAATACTTCACTCAAAATGCATACTTATGTCCGTTTGTGGTCCAGTATTGATGTCCCCCCTTTTTGTTTTTCGAGCAGAGACTACAGAAGAGAGCTGAACGTTTCAACATGCCGGCAACAGCTGAAAGCAAAAAGGCCATACGTGCAGCGAGGTAAGAGTTTACCTGCGTACTCTCAGTTTAATACAGGGTTTTATTTTTGTAGTTTGTTCCAGCAGCTGAAGATACAACACTATATAGATAAGATAATACACATCAGATACAAATTAAATGGAAAAAATAAGATGCATTGTTAGAAATAATGGTCAGAAGTAATAAAATAATATCCCGGTTGGTATAAACTGGATTAAAACTTTAAGTAAATGTCACTTTATTGTCATGTTTTATGATTTTTGCTCCTTTTCTTCAGGTTTGGGTCAGCGGCCGAAGCTACCACCCCCTCTCCAGGTCTGTTGTTGCGCTTTACTCGCTCTTACTAAACTTGACTGTGGAGTAAAAGTGAATGTTTAGAGATCTCAGGTTGAAGGGTTTCATGTAATTTTATAATTGTTTCCCATGAATACGTCACTCTTTACCCGGTTTAGGCTCGTGAAAAGATGTTTGTTGTTAGTTTCTTGGTAGAAAAACGGTTCCAGAACACAACAGGATCTTAATTTGCCATCATCCAAACCTTAATACACAAATCAGGTGATCGGTTTGTTTCTATCAGCCAGAAACGGAGAGAAATCAGACTACTTAAACATTTGCCACATTTCAAGTGTAATACTTTTGTATATCTAGCTGGCATAATCAATCAAAGAGACATTAACGTGTTTTTAATGTTATAATTCTGCTTCTCACTCACAATTTTATCCATCTGTCTCCCAAACAGGTGTCGTTGCAAACAGTAAAGCTCCTGTAAGTGTTCCCTATTGAGTCTGTCCCACATTTATTCAACATTTCTTCTCTCCTCCAGTGAATCAGATCATGTTAACGTGTGTGTAACGTTCTGTGTGTGTCTCTTTTTATAAAGGTGAACGTCGATCAGCTGAAGAAGAGAGCAGAAAGATTTGGCATGAACGTTTCATCCGTTTCACAAAAGGTGAGCTGGAGTTCACGCAGACTTTCATGGTGCAACTGAGAGATAAACTGCAGTTCAGGAGACTGTGTGTATTTTTGTTTGATGTCTGTGTATGTAGAGAGGATTTATACTCTTAAATATGTTGTTGTTTTTGGGCTTGCTCAAGATCACCCGCAGTCGCCACACAATGCAGTTGTTGATTTTGTCACTGATGCCGCAGCTGACGTGGCACGTGGCAATAAAGTCAAAATGATAAGTTTTTAAAACCAACGGTCAAACAGGCAGCTAAGATCTAACAGGAAACAAACATTTGTATGCCTCCTGCTGCCTGATCTCTTCCAGCCTTAGCAGTTCATCTTTGTGTGTTTTTTAAGGCTGCAGTGTTATTGTAATCAGTAGTAATGTATGAGACACAGTTTTCGCCACCAGGTTGCGCCTGTGAGTGAGCAGCCAGTTGAAAAATTTTTTTTTCTCGTGTTGTTTCAGGCTGCAGAGAGTCGAGCAGGCAGATAAAGTGTGAAAGCACATTGGTTTGTTTTGTTAAATATAGAAATAAAAACCAGTAGAAGGGTGATTCTTTCATAAAACTGGCTTTTTCCTGGAGTCAGTTTGCATTAAAGTTTTTTTTTTGTGTTGTTGTTTTCCAGATCGAAGAGGATGAAAAGCTGAAAAAGAGGAAGGAGCGGTTCGGGGCCTTAACAAGTGCAGGTTCAGTGGGTTCAGTGGGTTCAGCCGATGTCGAGGTTTGTTTCCTTTCCAATGCTTTTTATTCTTCTTATTGTTTGATATCAATATATTTATATTTCATGCTTAGAAAGATTGTGTATTAATGTTTCTTCTCTTTCTCCAGGCGAAGAAACTGAAGCGAGCTGAACGATTTGGAAATGTGTGAATGATGTTTTAGACAGTTATTATTGTTCTTTTTTTTCTGTTTTTTTTTCTGTTTTTTTTTTTTGGTAAAACATTTTCATGGCTGCACACCAGAGACAACAAATGTCGATTAATAGGATTCCTGAAAAATCAAAAGTATCATTAAATACAAAGATAATTAGGCGAGTGAGATCATTTATTTTAATTCACGGAGCCTCGAGTAAAAAAACAACAACCAGTAACTAAAAACCAACCTAAAATAATCTAAAAATGTCTCATTATCATAAATACAACAAAGAAAATTGGAAATATAAAATGTTTAACAATGTTTAATGTTTAAAAGTTTAACAACAGAAATATTTTGGTATTAAAAAAAAAAAGGTTATCTTAATCAAACATTTTGTAATAATCCATTTAAATGATTAAACTTAACTATTTGTATTTACTGTGTGTGTATTGTACTTTTGATTTATCAGATCGGCCTGTTATTTAGTTTTTTTTTGGGGGGGGGATATCATTGGTACACTGATTCAGTTATCTGTCCATTTTATAACCTTTTTGTGATTTAAAATAAATCGTTTTCAATTTTTTGATACCTGCTTTGTTCGACTCCTTTGTTTAGTTTGGAGTGTTTTTATTCTACGGAGCCGCAGTCGGCCACACAGAGTAATAATTATCCTACAGTACTGTGGCTGTGTTACGTAATCCCCTGGTTGACATTTGTACCTGGAACCATTTAATCAATGCTGTGAGTATTAGTTATCAATAAGAGATAAACGGCTGTGATTGGTTGCACAGACCAGCACAGGAAGAGGAAACCAGTAACTTCAGTTTCAGTGGAAATGTCCTCTGTGTTTGTGCTATGGATGGATCCGAATTTCACTTTGGAAACTAAGTTTTACAGTTTGTTGTTTTATTGTTTATTTTTGTGGGTTTGTCTGTATATGTTGGTGTTGGCATTGCATGTTGCAAAAATTAATAGGATTGATTTTCCAGTAATTACCTGCTTCTCAGTAAGATTAACTGTAACTTTATAGTAATAAATAAGTTAATAACCTGTAGTTTTTACACCCCTGATGGTAAAGCGAGGCCGAGGTACGGGGAACAAAGATCTAACTTCACTGTTAACAAAAACAGTTCTCTCCAAACTTATGTTTTCTAGTAAAGTAAACCTTCACAAAGAGCCTGAAAATGTATCAGCTGTAGTTTAATTAATGATAATAATATAAATCTACAATCCTACAATAATGTTTCTGCCCCGATAATTATTTAAAAATCTATTCTTTGAACTTATTATATAGGAGAGCCCACAAATACAAATACGAACCTGAAAGTGGGAATAATATATTTAATCATTAAGATTGAAGTACCATTATTTAAACAGGGTTAGTAATCAGCAAAAGGCACCAAGTAACTAAATTAACAGCAAATATATTATTTCTAAATGTAATCATTGTCTACATGGATATTGCTATTTGAGTTCTTGTTTTTTTAATTGGTTGATGTTGTTTTGTGTCACTCAATCAGTGGACTAGACCAGTGGTTCCCAACATAAGGGTCCAGACCCCCACTTAGGGTCGGCAGAGCATCACAGGAGATACGAAAACTTGAAACCTCAGTATTTCTATAAAGGAAAACTAAATTAAATGTTATTTTTAAGGTTTAGGTTATTATTTAAGAATTAAATAAGGGCACATTTCACTCAGAGCCTTCACTGTATGATTAATGGCCTCGAAGAAAACAGTGAATTTGTCCAAAAAAAAAAAAAGCCACCAATTAAGTATTTTTTAAATTATACTGACAGTAAAAACATTTGCATTAAAGACACGTGAGGTTTGGAGATAATTAGACTGATTTTGGTCATCATGAACTTTAAGGGATGAACAGTATTTCATTAAATACTATATACTTAATATTGTTTTTAAAGGAGCAGCCAGAGACAGCGGATGAGAGGCAGTAGTCATGTCCATTTACTGTTGTTGCATACATGTCGATACAAACAGGGAAACAAAACTGAGGATGAACAAAGAAAAAAAAAAACAACTACATAATTCTCTTTCCTTCACCCGAGTTATCATACAGACAAAAAACAAATCAAATAAGCAGCTGCACTTTTTGTTTAAACATTAGATACAATTATTAGCTTTTTCTACACCCAGCTTCAATGTTACTTACGTTGGCACGTTGAAACACAAAATTCAAAAAATAAAATAATGAAAAGCTGATGAAATCCTGCTTCTGGTTCACGACGTTAAAATAAAATCTCTCACTCTCGGACGTCGGCAACAGAAACTAAAAGGAGAAACTCAGTAAAAAAAGCTCCAGATGAGCTCTGAGTTCAGATGTTGAGTTGATTTTAACGACTGGTGCGCTGCGTCGACCTCGTTTTTATCCACAGATTGGCTCCGAACAGAGTGTGACGGATCAATAAATTATCTAAAATCCCACAAAAAGACCAAAAACCAACAATGAATGTATCAAAGGCTGAGATATCCTCTTCCTTAGAGCCACAGGGCAACTACTTAAAACAACTATTAAATTAATCACCGACTATTTTGATAATAAAAATGGCCTGAAACAGTTAATCTAAAAGGAGAATGTTTAAATTATCTGATTTCAGGCTGCAACTAACGATTATTGATGAATCTGTTGATCATTTTCTCCATTAATCAATTTGTTGTTTGGGTCAGACATCATTGATCACCGTTTCAGTGACGAGACGTCCTTAAATATCTTGTTTGGTCTAAACCCCAAAGATATTCACTTTACTATTTACTAAATATTCACATGTGAGAAGCTGAAATCAGAAAATTTTGACTTTTTTTTTCTGAATAAAAATAAAAATTAATTGAATATCAAAATAGTTGGCGATTAATTTCATAGGTTTATAAATAATTGATTAAATGACCAACCATTGAAGCTCTACTGTCAACATTTAACATAAGACATTTGGGTTGTAGTTGTAGACGAGGTTAAAATTGATGCAGCAAGTTATCCTGAGTTAGTTCTAACTACACTTCCCATAATGCAACTTCTTCCAATTAGATCGTCCCTGCCTGGTTAAAAACCTTTCTGTTTTTACAGGATGTGTAGTTCTAGTAAAGGTGGACTTATATATATTTGTGAGGTGTTTTTAAAGACTTCCATCTTCAGTAGGAACAAACAGACAAATCACTGGTTTTGGTCTTTTCATGGAATAATACAAAATTGGAACAACAGACTTGTTTGACGCAGAAGAGCTTAAAAACTCTTCAAAATAATGAACGAACAAAGTCGTGAATAATTGCACAGATGACGTCTTATCTTGGATTTAAAGTAGTTCACAATGTATAATTTCTATAGTACCGTATCATGATCCACACTTTATTTAATAAAGAAGCTGCAGCTGTCACACACGGTCATTGTTTTTATAATTACAGTCAACAGTAAAGCCAGATTTAATAATCATAGAGTCTAGACACATTACGCTCCTGGAACATGAGAAGAATAAATCCGAAATTCGAGTTTCGAGTTATCTTCTCTTCCCTTTTTTTAAACTTTAGACCTGCAGCTGGTTTTTGGGGGCTTTAGCGTCGAGGATCCGACCGTTTGGCGTCCTGAGCAACACGAGGGCGAACACACCTTCCCAGTTTCCACCAGACTGACAGAAGAGTCTGAAACTTAAAACAAAAAAAAACATACAAGCGTGCAGACCCAACAAATCCAATACCAAATAAGAACAAAACAAAAAAAAGACACTCTACATGTTTTTTAGAAAAAAATTACAACAGAAATTAAAACTAGTAGAAATGTTTCTCTTTCTCAGATTGAGCTAATCATCAGTGTACATTAACAGTACTTATGGCAGCGAGCGAGGGGAGGAGACAACTTGTTATATTAACTACAGGGCAGTTACAGGTAGCACTTCACCTTTAGCCTTGATCCAGTGTAGAAACTCCGTCCTGTTTAAACCACAGTGAACTGTTGTAGTGACGCAGTACTGTACGAGTACTGCGTGTATGCTTTGTTATTGAGCAGTTTGTTATTGGTTGAAAACAGAGGGATTAAACCAAAGGAAGTGTTACCCTGTTCTGCCTCTTCCACAGTTCGGACTGCAGGGCGGTCTCTCACAGAAACAACCTCTGGCTTCTCTCTCACACACACACACACACACACACATACCACCGCCTTGTTTTGTAACAGCAGTAAACATCTGGAAGACATCTAAGCGTCTAAATCGGTTATCACTACCGCTACAGACGGGGTAAATATCCAGATGTGGCGTCTCTACCTGCTGCTGTTTCTTCTTACATGTAAGGACAGTGGGGTCGTTTTAAATAAGCTAAAGGTTGTTTGTCGGACAAGACCAAGTTCATGGAATTTCTCCCTCTCCTCCTCCTCTTCTTTCTCTTCCCTGGTTGGGTTTGGGGCCGCTGGCGTGCGGTGGTGGCGGTGGCGGTCGGAGCCTCCCCGCGAGGATCCCGGAGGCCGTCACACCGTGCAGCATCTGTTCTGGAAGAGCTGATCGACCACCGAGGAGTCGGCCAGCGTGGAGATGTCGCCCAGGTCTCGTTCGTCACAGGCGATTTTGCGGAGCACCCGTCGCATGATCTTACCTGCGGAGAGCGACAGACGCAGGTGTTTAAGGAAGAGGGTCAAAAATCAAGGAAGTGAAAGCTAATTTTAATATTAAACAGATGTATTCCCAGTTGTTCCCTTTTAGAGCAGTGGTTCCCAACATGGGGTTGCAAGGCCTTCTTGATTTTAAGGGATGTAAGAAAACTTAAAAATATACACTTTAGGCCAATATATCAGCTTTTCATTCAAAAATAAATGAATTTGTTTACTTGGATATAATGTTTGTTAAAATAAATACATAATACAGACAGAATTGTATAAAAAGTTCCTAAAATCATCAGAAAACTCGAAATAATCTGCTTAAATGAATCAAAATCTCTTGTTTTGCACAAAATGTTCTGTGCTTTTAATATCCAGAAAATATGTCACATAGTCAGTTTGTCAGTTTACTCTATGATAGAAAAGGAGTCCCTTCAGGAAAAAGGTTGGGAACCACAGATCTAGAGGGTAGCATCACTTTATTTTCTCTGGAAAACTGGAAATAACTATAACTAATATATAAAATATAACTAATATACTGTCAATGACCAGTACAAACTGGGGCCAGGATCAATAAATAGTATAACTCTCACTCGCCGAACATCACTGAGTCCCATGTTCAGTTCAGACTTCACCCTTCCCCTTTTAAAGCTTTATATATTTGTGCCATACATTCCAGAGTAAAGAACTTTACCAGATCGGGTCTTGGGGAGTCCTGGAGCCTCCTGGATGTAGTCTGGCGTTGCGATGGCACCGATCTTCTCCCGCACTGTGAAGACAAATCACATCAGAATCTGAAGTCTCACTGAAAACCTGGTTTTATTAAAAAGGTTACGCAGAAGTTAAACTGTCTTAAAATAAACATATCTCAGACACAACTACGTGAACGTTATTAGAATCTGTTGTATCTGTGCAGCAGGATTAGATTTAGGTTTAAATCTCCTTTTTCTTTATCCCTAAATAGTACTAAGGCTTCAGTGGAGACTTTTCAGGAGCTCTTCCTCCCTGACAAAAACACAATTCTACAAAAAAAACACGAGTTGTCAAAGATTAAAAGTCAAACACTTTTTCCCAGAGCCGCGTTTAACCAACCTTGTTTTCTGAGCTCCGCCTCCAGCGCGCGGTTGTACGTCACTCCGTCAGTGAGAGTGACGAAGCAGTAGAGACTCTCTCCTTTCACAGGATGAGGTCTGCCCACCACAGCAGCCTCGGCAACGACCTCGTGCTCCACCAGAGCCGACTCCACCTCCGCCGTACTCAGTAAGTGACCTGGAGGGAAAAGGGAGGGAAGGAGGGCGGTTAACGGACCGTCGAACGTAAATCTTACAAATTTATGATGGAGAGAAATCATCAGGAACAGAGTTTATCTTAACAGACAAGAAGAAAACTTTCTTTTCGTTCTCTGAGAAGCTATTTGATCCATTTTTGGTTTCTGTACATTTGATGTCAAATTGTTACTTTAAACATCAGTAAAATAACACACAGGTTTGATCCTCAGATAATCTCAGCTGTCAGTCTTACCTGAGACATTCAGCATGTCGTCTATCCTCCCTGTTATCCAATAATAGCCATCCTTGTCTCTACGGCAACCTGTCATAATCAAGAAGATCGGAGTAAAGTTTAAATAAATGTTTCCAGCTTCCAACACAATGTAGCAATAAAGTGGTTTAAAACTTAAGAGTAAAAGATAATCCGTGAGATAATATAAAATAATATGAGAGAGGATTAGAGCAAGAAACTGAAGAGGTAGGTTATAGATAAAAGACAATTTAAAATATAAAAAACCCTCAAATAAAAAGCAGATTCTCATATATTCCACCGAGTGTTTGCTCTCACCGTCTCCCGTCACGTAGTATCCAGGGAACTTCTTGAAGTACGTGGTTTCAAACCTCTGCTGGTTTCCGTACACCGTCCTCATCACGCCGGGCCACGGCTGCTTGAACACCTGATCGAAGGCAGAGTCGACGGAGAGTGAAACACAGATTCAGATCCTTTCAAGATAAATAATAATAATAATAATAATAATAATAATAATAATAATAATAATCCTAACCAGGTATCCTTCACTTGGACCCTCCAGCTCCTCTCCTGACTCATTCAAGATGGCCGGCACCACGCCAAAGAAGGGGAACGTCTGGAGGACAGAAAAAAACAGACGTTTAACTTCTTCACTGTATATTTTATTTATTTATTATAATATTAAAATCAGATTTTGAATGAAGGTTTGACATTAATCTAGGAATAAATCTACCAAGTTGAATCTCATCTACAATGAAATACCAAACTTATTATATCTTGCGTTGGCTTGTTGCCCCACAGTCAGGTCTTTATTTTTTAATATTGTCCTCTTTAATAAACATTCATGTACTCACAGCAGACCCCGGTTTCATGGGTGTGGCTGCAGGTAGAGGAGTCAACACATGTCCACCCTGAAAGACCCCAAAACATCCAGTTAGAAATGATTTTGTTTTTATCCCACAGGGTGTGAGTAACCTGTGTCTCCAGCAGGTGGCAGCACAGTCAGCAATCACTGCTGAGTGAGGGAGTTAAAAACAGTAAATGGAGGATAAATTACACATTTTTATGTCAATGTTTTCTTTTAAAACATGTAGATTGTAGGGAGTGCTGTCCTTTGTTGTCTATGAGGAAGTTAAATCATCTCTAACACAATATGAACATTCAGAAGCTCCTCAGTGGATGTCAGAATAACTATAATATACTTTATTAACTTACAGTTTCCGTCTGCCAGAAGGTGTCGACAATAGGACATCTCTTCTCTCCAACCACATTGTAGTACCACTGCCAAGCCTCGGGGTTGATGGGCTCTCCCACCGTCCCCAAAACCTTCAGAGACTCTCGTTTATACCTGCAGAGAGAAAACAGGTTAGAGGAGTTAATGATTCACCACAGAAACCAGTACAGCTGCCACACTGCGTGCACCAGTGAGACCCAGATCATCACTTTCCTGTTGGGTTTCTAGGTCAAACTATGTTGGTTTAACATGTTTTTTTTGCTGGAAATGCACATTTATGTTTTATTTCCTGAATGAAAACATGATAAGCGTCACCGGAAGTCAACGTTTGACGCTCAGAAACGACTCACTTCTGCACCGGCTCGCTGCCGTACTTCATCAGCAGCCTGATGGCGGTTGGAGCCGTGTAGAACTTGGTCACCTGATATTTGTCCACAATCTCCCACATACGACTCACATCTGGGTAGGTAGGCAGGCCCTCAAACTGAAACATACAAACAGTGAATATAAACATAAAATCAATAGAAAAAAGTGGAACGAGAGATTTTAACGTCACATTTCAGGCTTACGTACCAATCAATCTATCTTCTGCCTGAACAATAATTACATGTTCATGAATTCCAATAAAGCTAACAATCATTTGGTTTATAAAATAGTCTGAAAATTGTGAAAAATGTCTCCTAAAAGCCAAATGTGACATCTTCAAATGTCTAGTCAAACTGTCCAAAACCTAAATAAATAAAAAAAAATTACAGTGAAAAGCAGCAAATACTAAACCAGAGCAGGTTTGTCCACTGATTAATCAATAAATCTACTTTTTGTTTAAGCTCTAATTCAAACTAATACAAACTTGCAGAAAGGTCAGACTGAAGCTTTACAAATTAGAGGAGACAACAGGTAGTCAAGTAAATGTGTAAATCATGTAAATTATTATTATTTTGATGAAAAATGTCCAATCATAAGTAGTTAATATTCTAAAGATCTTAGAAAAAAGGGAAATTCAAAAGATTAACACTAGAAATAGTGTTTTTCTAGCTGGTTATGCTTATTATATGTTCTATACAGAATACTATAGAACTAAATATAAATATAAATAATAGGACGGAAGGATTTTAATGACTGGATTAGCTGCAGACCGTAATGGACACCACCTGCGATCACAATAGATCGACCATCAGCCAAGTTGTTTCAAGACTGTAAAAAACAGGAAGTTGAGTTAACTGTTTGACCCCCTCTGCCTGTACGCACCAAGACACTGGTGGCCCCGTTAGCCAGCGGGCCGTAGGTGATGTAGGAGTGCCCGGTGATCCAGCCGATGTCGGCCGTGCACCAGTAGACGTCATCGGGCTGGTAGTCGAACACCAGTTTGAAGGTGACGGCGGTGTAGAGCATGTAGCCGCTGACCGTGTGAAGAACTCCCTGCAGACGAGACAATGTTTTAACAGCGAGCAACACTTCGGAAACGCCCTCGGGGGGGATTTTAGGATGGGTGAACACAACGTCGCACAGCCGTGCCCGGTGAAGTTTCAGGGTAAAAGCTATCACAAGTGGGACAAGAGCGAAGCAGGATGTGGTCGATGCTTCAGTGAGCACATCCTGGACTCATGTTACCAGTTTTATCTGCAGATGCCTTGAGTTGATTCATTGATTTTTTTTTTTGATAAATGTATCAGTGGTTTAGTCTATACAATGTCAACCAAAATATATTTACATTTTCTCTTCTGTTTAATGATATAAAACAGGAAAGAAAGGAGCAAATCCTCATAATAAAGAAGCCGCTTTAACATTTTAACTTGTTAACGGCGTGATATCGTGTTGGACAATTCATCAATTAATTATCTGAGTGCTCTTTTACAACTTCAACCAGCTTACCGCCCTACTTAAATATGTACAAATCACAGGTTGAATAGTTAATTATGTAAAAAAAAGATGCACATTTGTGTGTGTTTACGCTACCTTTGGTTTGCCGGTTGAGCCGCTGGTGTAGAGGATGAAGAGCGGATCTTCAGACTCGCACCACTCTGGTTCACACTCGTCTGAAGCTCCATGAACCAGAGTGTGCCAACACAAGTCCACGTCGGGGTTCCACGGGACCTGGTGTCAAACACACACAAAAAGGGACACATGCACACAAACAGACAGGACGAATGAACACACAAATTCCCCTCGTTATCTATAAAATCATTGAGTTTTTAGTCAGGGATTTAAACAACAAAATGTCTCTACGATCTAAAAACGCACAACGAAAGTGAAAGAAAGTTAGTTTGACAAACATGACTCGCAAACCAGCTCAAAGTGAGAGCAAACGAGAGAAAGACATATGAAAACTGTGGATCTGAATGAATAAAAGCAACAAAGAGTTAGAAAACTTACAGACAATGTCACTTATTACCTGTGTGTCAATCAGAGCTGGGTCACCTACAGTGGGATGTAAAATGTACTTATAGTTTAAGGACTAATGGGGGTATTTTTTATCTTGTTGACTCACAGAAAGAGATCAAGAGAAAGATAAGATGTAGACAATCATAAAAATAAATCTACAAGATGTTTCTAAAAGTGTCTCACTTTGTCTCCTGAGTGACGGATGAACAGTTTCGGGGGGTTTTGGGATCAATCTGACTTCATGTGTCAAAAACAATCAATCAGTCCCAGAAACAGTAAACAGACCCAGATCTGACGTCCACTCAACATCTTTCACACACACACACACAGAGAGAGATTCATCTCCAATAACGCTGTTAAAGAGGGATCCATACAGAGCCGACTAATGAGCATCGTGTTAAAGACGATGGCAGAGGCCTTGTGTTTTCAATACACGCTCAGATGTTTCTCATTATTTTAACTGAGCGCAAATCGAAAAGGGGGACGATTGATTAGTTACAGTGGAGGAAGAGGAACGATGGATGGATGTCACACCGGCAGATGTTATGGCTTCCAGATATGAGAGAGAGAAAACACAAGGCTCCACCTCTGGTCCCTGAGACAAAGTCTTTACTTATATACAGCTGGGAAAGAATCAGGGGTCTGTTTGTATCCGGGCAAAACACAAGAGATAAAAGCTCTATTTCAAAATTTTACAGTTTCCTATTTAGATGTAAACCCATTAATAAAAACTCAATAAGAGGATATTAAAAATAATCAATGTGTATCATAATATGGTAAATATATGCAAAAAATACATTAAATAATGAGAGAAAAATGATTTTCAGTGCAATGAAATTTGTTCAGAATCATTAATTTGGACAGTTTTGTAAAACAACATCACCGAGATATTAATTATTAACCATTAACAGGATATATAAAATCTGATCTAACAATTCGTAAGCTCTTAGGGGGCTACTGAGTATATTTTTTCATATCACCCAGAACTTTTATTGATTTACAGGTAAAACTAGAAATATAGTGACTTAAAGTGACTTTTTAAAATGTTTAAATCATAAAAGCTGATTCATGTAAACTAAAACAAAAAATCAACAACAGACCCCTGATTGTTTCTGACTGGTGGGGTTTAGGTAAAAAGAGAGAAGTGTTAAAAGTTACATTAGTAAGAAATAAAAACAACCGTCAGAGACAGCGGCTCATTTCCGTGTACTAAATATAACAGTGCTCAACTCCGCCCAGAGTGAAGTCGAAGGTAAAAACAGTGTACAACATAAAAGAGTGTTAGTTTACACGTTTACAGAGAATTTACATTTTATTCCAATGAATTCAGACAGAAAACATCTGAGAACACAAGAAACACTTTGTTTTATTTACTTTTTATCTAAATTTTGGTCTTAATTTCGATTATATTTCATATTGAATCTAATCAATTATGATATTTAATGATAGTCAATCTGAAATGTCGTTTTTAAAGCAGACATGATGAAATAAAATCATGTTTTACGTCCTAATTTTACTAATTGTGTCTGTTAAGTACAATAATACAAAGGAATTATATTTTATATTATGTTAAATATATATATTTTATATATCAAATTTAAGTTAATTTGTTAACTTTAATTTCTCATGTACCCAGATGTAACCTGTCATATCAATGGAATAACAAATTGCTGTTGCTGGGTAAAAACAATAAATCAACACTTAATAGTTCATTAAATTGTAATATTTTAATAGATAAAATAAAAGGCGACAGTAAACTACAAATAAAAAGGACCTAAAAATGAACTAGAGTAAGAATCTTTCTTCTTACGTTGTTTATTCTTTTTACCTTTTTTACAGCAGCAATGTGAAAATTCTGCTTGTGAGTGAAATTCCCTTTTAAAAAGCAAAAACAAACGGGGGTGTTACGGTGGGTTTTAGTGGAGGGAGGAAGGGTATGAAAATACCTGCGGAACAGGACGTGTTTTCTTTACTCTCCCTGCCTGTTTCTCCTGCTGGACGGGAGTGAAGACGAGGAAGAGGAAGAGGAAGGAGGAGGAAGGAGAAGTTAATAAGGGGAGAGTGGTTATTTAAAAAAAAAAAAAAAAAACTAAAGAACACAAAGTTAAAAGAAAACAGGATTCCCAACGTCACCTCAAGTTGACACTGACAGAAGTTTAAAGAGCTTTATAAGATGGATTTGGTAAATAAATAAAAATAGAAATGTAGATGCTACGGGGCCAGTTTCACAGAAAAAGATCCACAGATGTAACAGCTTAATAAGGAATATAATATTATTTAAAGGATAACATTGGCTTTACTTTATATTTGTCTTATTGTCAATAAAACCCATTAAATACCAAAACCAGATTTCCTGTCTTTGGCCCTCAGCTCGAGGCTCGATTGGTTCCTACTCACCTCATCAATATATGGTTTAATCTCCTCACTGTGGTTTTTAAATCAAACAATCTGGAGTTAATACTGCGTTTTATTTTGTAGTATTTCCGGCTGCAGGATAAACTACAGTGTGTGTGTGTGTGTGTCTGTGTGTGTGTGTTTGTGGTAATGAAGGAACACTCAGTGTGGCTCACTGATGTGTTTTAAAAGAGGTTTTGGATGAATGGAGCTCTGTGGCACAGAGGGAAGAGGATATTTCAGGTTTCGGAGAACGGTGTTATTGGTAACTTTAGTTCGTGCAGCCCTTCCAAACCTGCACATCAAGCTGGCTGATCCTGTCAGGAAAGTTTCATCTACCTGTTCATGACGATCATGTAGCAGAGCAGAGGAAACTAAATCTCTTCCTCCAGGCGATTAAAGCTATAATATGTAACATTTCTGCATTAAAATGTCTCTAAACTCCAGACCTAATGTGTACTTATAATCTCAAATGTTTCCAACAATGTTCAAACGCAGAGAAATATGATTTTATTGCATTTTATTCAGGTAACTGGTACCTTACTCCAGTCGCCTCTCAGGCTTTGGTTGTACTTTTTATCCAGACACATTTTTACTCAACACTTTTTAACTTTTTGTCATTTTTAACTCTATATTTGAAGGATTTTAGTCACTGAATGTCACACTGTGTATGTTTGCTTACGTGCATCCCAGAAAAGTCCAGCTTGAGTTGAACACTCATTGACAATAAGAAAAATACAGAATATCTCCACTCTTTCCTTTAAGCTACGCAGGAGTGTTGAATTAGTATTATTTACATGTTAAACTAGTAAAACTGACCCCACTGTATTTTATCTGACAAACATGGGAGAAGCAAATTAAAGCTTTCTTTGGGAGAACAGCAACTTAAATTAACTTCAAAAAGGATGATGCATGATTTAATGATAGAGAATAAATAGGAGGAGATTGAACTAATGTCTCAACCGCAGGTCGCAGTTCTTCTGGAACGGCCCAGTTTGGGATTTTAGTCCATCATTTACCTGAAGGTCGGGACAGGAACGTTTGGCCGGAGGAGAGTGAGAGCCCAGAGGAGTCTCTTCTGCTTCTTTGGACAAGTGCTTCAGCATTATACACCTTTTTACTGGGAAACCCCTGCACAGAGACAGAGACAAAGACCTGGTGAGCATAACATCGTGTGGTTGTCTCACTGCTCCGTTTGCTTTCTGGATCTCCTCTTTGAGTCTTAATGAAGTAACTTTTCATCTCGCTGCCCCTGTTTTGTTTCACAGAGCATTAGTGAAGTGAGGTGATGCACTGGAATACTGCCATGATTTACTTATATAAGCCAAATGGTTTTCCTCGCATGTTGCTACTGAACCATCCATCTATCCTCATCCAAACCCTGTTCAGTTGTGCAGGAGGGAAACTAAAAGGCTGTGCAGATGCATCATGTGTGGAGAAGTTATCTAATTCTTTTACAGAACAGGAACTGTAACCATTTGCCTTTTGGTTTTATCTGGAATGCAAAACGGTGTTTAGACGAGTGTCAAATGTTTTTCCTGGTGGCTTGTTCCTCACTAATATACAAGCACCATGTGTGTGTTTGTAATTACAACTTACTTGACTCTGCATTTGTGTGTGTGTGTGTGTGTGTGTGTGTGTGTGTGTGTGTGTGTGTGTGTGTGTGTGTGTGTGTGGACAGCTTACTTGTCTCTGCATTTCTGCAGTGCTTCGTCAGCTAAGAACTTCAGGTTGATCAGCTTATCTCCTCGATAGAACCCATCTGAACGAGAGAGAGAGAGAGAGAGAGAGAGAGAGAGAGAGAGAGAGAGAGAGAGAGAGAGAGAGAGAGAAAGAGAGAATAAGTAAAATACGAGCAGACTAACATTAGCATTCCCAGAGATGAAAGTGATTCTTTTATCAAACATTTTATCATCTTAAATTATCAGTCTCACATCTGATAAGTACAGTACGGTAAGAGAGGTTTTGCTGTAATTATTTTGTAGGGTTAGGGTTAGGTTGTACTGACTGACCTTCAGTCTCCCACCTATTCTTTAACCCTCAATCTGTCTTTGCAGTCACTTCCAGCCTTGTTACATCCCTCTTTTTCTGCTGCCTGTATTCTGTCAGCATTACACTTTAAACTGCACTTTAAAAAGGGCATTAATCTTTACTGAAAGGAGCAAGAAGTCAGTTTTGTTTTGGCTGATACATTAGCTGGAAGGGGCTGAGAAAGAAGAGAAAGATGACCCAATATCCACTCACAATGTGTTCAACTTATTGTTCCTAGACTTGGATGTTTTACAAAGCAGAGTTTAACAATGTGTAAAACAAGGTGACCTAATATAAAACTAGTCTGATGAAACCTTTTGGCACATAAACTGAAAGTGGACTTTTTACTATTCTGTGAAAAAAACATCAAACGCAAATTATTATTTAAAGCAGAGCAGTTACATTTCTTTTATTAATTGAGAACAAGTCTCTGGATGTGAAACAGTTTAATGAGTCGCTGAGATAGTTTACAAAACTTTATGTACGTCAGTAAAACTCAATGAGACCCAGTGGAAATATTATCTCTGTTCCACCGCTCATGATCTCGTTACTCTCTTTACGACGTAATAAAACTCCACAAGTACGCTGACAGTCAAGATGAAAGAGCCCCCCCTGAGCTAAAGACTCTGTGATCCGCTTACAGGACTTCTATGAATGAGAAAAATGTGTGTGCGTGGGCTCCAACCACAGGCCATTATTCCAGTGGATTAGCAGGTTAATATCCCCAGACTCTAATCCAGCTAATAAGACTTTGATTACTGGTCACAGCTCAGCAGCTCGTACCGAGGAGCCAGAAGGAGGTTTCAGTTCTGCTGAGGTGTCTTTGGAGCAAGACATTAAACCACTGGGACGTTGGCATGGACGTCACTGTAAATGAGAATTGGTTCTCAACTGACTTATCTGGTTAAATGAAGGTAAAATCAATAGAAAATACAGTAAATATAGTGTATGTATTGGCTGTTTGGGGCCTAATCAACATTGACTGTATAAACAGTGCAGTAGTTAAATTCCTGTAAATGTGAAAACTCATCCCACTTATTTTTTAATAATCTTTTAAACTTTTCCAGGAGTTTCTCTTGACAGTTCAGGACAACCATTGGTCACTAACATCATATAATTTATCGGTCGGCCTAGCATTGACTTTAACTCCAGTTTAATGGCACCTTTTTTAACGATGAAGTGTCTCAAGTTCACTGCGACGCAGAAAAGATCACTGCGAGTCCGTTCCAGCTAGTGAACAGCTAGATAGACTGAAGTAGCCGAAAGGAAAAGGAAGCATTAAAAACATCCGTTCTGCTTCATGTCTGGTTAAACCCACTCGGAAGTGTCGTACTGCGCAGCTACTGACTATCGAGGTTCAAACTAAATATGAACCTCTGTTTATGGAGGCGATCGGAGTGAGGATATTTGGTCATTTTAATCCATTTCCAGGTGTTTCCATAATTTCCAGGACGCGTGAAAACCCTGCAGAGGTCAGAATCAGACACGGAGCAGCCGATTTGGAGCTGGTACAGTTTCAGTGTCTGCAGGTATTAATCGTAGTCGTTTGTTACTCAGAATGTCTTCAGAATATTCTTGTAGGAAACCTGTAGATTTGTTTTTCATAAAAATCTGAAACCCACCTGCTGTGACGAGCAGCGAGCACTGGGAGTCCAGGATCCTCTCACACAGAGACTCCGCAGAGAAACCTGCAAACTGGAAACAGCAGCACACACACAGTATTAACATCTCCCTCATAACTCAACCATGTACTTGTATTATTGTTCCTTCCTTTATTCAGCCGTGCGTCTCAAACTCACCACTATGGAGTGAACAGCTCCGATACGGACACAAGCCAACATAGCTACCACCAGCTCCACCACCATGGGCATGTAAATGGACACACGGTCACCCTTCTTCACTCCTGCAGACAGAAACAAAACACGAGATTCATCAGGTAGATGAAGGGAAAGACGCAGATGAGCATATCTATATTATAGATCAGGTAGTTAACGTACCCTGGGACTTCAGGACGTTGGCAAACTGACAGACCCTCTGCAGCAGCTCTCTGTAAGTCACTGTCAGCTCATCACCAGGCTCATTGCCTTCCCTAAAACAGACAATAAACATATACAGAAACACATATTAACAAACAACATCAGATTTTTAAATTGATTTGATTGGTTTCTCAACATTTGTGAAATAAGGAAATGTACAACAACAACATCATGAATATTTCAATTTCAGTTTGTCCAACACTCAACAAAAATATTCAATTTACTATCATTTTATTTATTAAACAGATACAAATACTGATTTTAGAGAGGTAAAATTAACAGATTACTGATATGGTGGCTGATTCACTGACTATTTGAGCTGGAACTGCACTGAGGTACTCAGGAGGTTGCTTTCTAACTTTATTAAAGTATATTTAAAGTTATATTATTATTATAACCATCCAAAAAAAATTGCCAAATATATGAAATAAAGAAAGTAATTCCTTATTGAAATAGCTGCAAATTAATTTCTTGTCGATCAACTTATCCATTAATTGAGGGACGATGTGTTAAAATCTCCTTCAAAACAGATATTTTAATTCTGTGCCTATGATGCATATATTTATAAATGAATGTGTAATCAAAAGCTACTATTCCAGCATAGAAAAAGAAGTGCACACACACACAGCAAAGACTCAGCCCATCTTTACCCCCAGGGAGACCGAGCAGGTTGATCGACCTTTCAACACAAGTTTCTCAAACTCAACACAAAACATCTCAAATTGGTAGAATTTCATCCCCGTTGCGAAACTCGACTCATCTCAACTTTCCCCTTTTTCACAACAGTATCATCCTGGGCGTTTAAGGAACAGCCCGCTTGCAAAAGTCTCTCTCACACACACACTCTCACACTCACACACACACAGTATAGGAGTAAGACTTTGAGATTAATAACACTGTCTCAGGAGCAGATAGAGAAACAAATGAGTTGTGGCAGCTCTGCCTCTCCAGATTATTAAATTACAGCCATTTTGGTCGTCTAGCTCGTCTCTGAAAACTGTGACTGACAGTCAGTGATGAGGAGGAACGCTGAGGAAGGCCGGAGACTCAGAGGCTGTAACCCAATTCTGTACTTCAAAATATTTCATCAAAAATATATAAAACTCTGCTATTAAACCCCTGTGATTGAATATATATATATATATTTTTAAAAGGTACAGATTTAGTGATATTATAAACACTAGACAGCCCGAATCCTCTCCTGCTACTTTATAATACCAACTGAGGAATACAATTTAACTGGTTCAAAGAGTTGAGTATATTTGTTTTAGTGTTTCTTGATTAATAGTCTTAAAAAAGTGTATAAAAGTAGTAAAAACTGCAGCCAAGAGCCCAAGGTGACGCCTTCAAATGTCCTGTTTTGTCTGAACACCAGTTCAAAACTAAAAAAATATAAAATTTAATAGAAGAAAATCTCCACGTTTGAAAAAAAGGCAGGATACAGGAAACGCTCCCTTCATAAAGACTTAAACAGATAATCAAGTTAACTCTACGAACTGAGTTAGTATACAAGAAATAACCGTTCTTGTACCATTTTGTAATGATGGGAAATGATGTAATAAATGCACCAACGCACGTCAGCTTTGTAATTACACTACGGACTAAACTCAGATGTATTTACAAAGATTGAATGATTTGTTTTACAGTTTTCTTTCGTTTTCCACCATCTGCAATTCATTTTAACTTCTTTATTGCAGCTTTTGAGTCGCTCCTCTATTTCAACGTGGGACCTTGTGGGATTATAAATATCATACGCGCTATGGAACTGGGGCAGAACCAAGGTTTAAGTGCACCTGAGGGAATGATAAAGCGTTGAGATGGAAGATGGATGACCAACAATAAGTAAGAGGCAGGGAGTCAATAAAAAGAGAGAAAGAGTATGAGAGTACAAAGCAAAAAGGGGGACAACAAAGAGTGCAAATATTAGAGCATGAGTAAAAAGTATAAGATCTATATAACTATATTAGATATACGTCAACCTAACAGCAAACAGCAACAGATGAACACAAGATAACAAATCTCACAAGCAGCAAAAATCTACAAAATACAAGTTTCAACATGTCCTCAACCTTCTCCAGAATTAACTGACATATACTGTGTTTCATTTGCATGTTTATCTACAGTAAAGACATGTTTTTACACAAAAAGTTATTACACTGAAATATATGGAGAGAAAAGCTGTACAGATTATAGCAGAGTAAAGCAAGTATAAAGTATAAATAATAAAGGGGGGGAGGCTCGTTTGTGACACATTTGACAATAAAACTTTTGTCTTTTAATAAGCAGTAAAATCATCATCAGATAAGTCAGGTTTAGTCAAATGTGTGTGTTTTCTCTCTCCTATTTTGCCTAACTGGTTGTGGCTGATGAACTGGAAAACATACAGATACAGTGTACACTATTGACACACAGAGTTTCTGGATCATTTTTGAGCTCTAGTGTAAGAAATCTCCACTCACTGCTGCTGAAACAGAGATATTTTGCAATCTTTTGTTTTTGTTGAAGTGCATTTAGTTTCGTGCTGAAAGCCAGAGCAAGGCGAGGCTGGTGTGTGTGTGTGTGTTGTTGGTAGGAGGGGAGCTTGCATAGCTGAAAGGTCTCTGTGACCCACTTGGCACTGGCAGCTGATGGGAGTTGCATTCACAGAATCACTGAGACTATGATGGAGCTCTGACCTTGATTATCATTTCAAACATGACATGTGAGCTGCCGTGTATGTGTTCACAGTCAGGTCTACTTTACTTTATATCCAGTCTGGCTTAGAGCCCGTATGGATTTATTTAGACGGATACTGATTTTAGAGAGGGAAAATTCACGGATTACAGATATGGCAGCTGATTTAGTGACTAATTGAGCTAGAACTGCACTGAGGTACTCAGCACCGGTTGATATCTAACTTTATTAAAGAATATTTAAGTTTCTTTTATTATTTGGAGAGTGACAGCTTGAAGAGAGACAGGAAACTGGGGAGAGAGGGAAAGACATGCAGCAAAGGGCCGCAGGTTGGAATCAAACCTAAATAGCTATCAGTACTGGCACCCACACGCCGGGAGGGGCTGGGTCCTCGCTGCAACGACCATGGGTTCGACTCTTTGCCATGTGTCTCTCATTATTTCCTGTCACTCCCCAAAAAACAATACAGATAACTCTGTGACAGGCCAGCGATATCCAGTCTGGCTCGAGTCCTGTGTGGAAACATTTGGGCCGTCAGGAATAAATGACAGTGAAGTGACGTGACGGGAGCCACGAATGAGCATGCAGGCTGATCTGAAGCCAAAACAAGTTCGCCAGAGTAGACAAAGCAGGTTCACTGTGCCAATATTTATTGTTATTGTTAGTGTTTCTACACATTTCTCTACATACATCATGAGAGCGTACTCATCTCAGACATAATACACACCTCATATTTATATACTGTATGTGTGTTTTTTGGTGGAAGAAGTTGAGTTATATTACATAATATAAATTTCCCATCATCAGGCAATAATGCCTCAACCCGATAATTATTGTCTGTCCCTAATGAATCTGAGTGTTTCATTTTGGTGTTTAATTATTGTTCTGTTACTGATTATAACACATGTCTGCATGCTGAACACAAACACTACAATGAAGGTCATTGGACATGTTTCTTTGCCCAGTTACCCAATCTGGAAATGTTAATGACAACAGCACACGCACACACACACACCCCTATAAATACACAACAGTAAGACCCATTTTCAACACTGGGGGGTTTAAATGTCAGGGAGATACAAACACTTACTGTTCTGTATGAGGACGTTAAAGCAGCATGTTAGAAGATCGAACTAAAGTAGTTTATTGCAATAATAAGTGAAAGAGAGACAACAACAGTAGAAGAGATTTTTATTTTTATCTCAGCCAAGACGAACTCTACGACTGATATTGTTCACAGTCACTTACTGAACGTCCTCTAAGCTTCAGTCAAACTGTATTTTACAGTCAAACTCACTTCTGGTCATAAACTGACTCCTCTAGAGTTCAATAGGGGAACTTATAATAAATAATAATAAGATAATAACCAGTCAGGAAGGTCTGACTGATCCAGTAATGACCTTTTTCCTAAAGGGACCCTTTCTCTATCATTGAGTAAACCGACTAAATATCATATTATATTCAATGCATAACAACAATAACAGCACACAACAACTGTTGAACTGTACAATGAACCCAAATAGTGAACACAATAACTGCAGGAAGTTTGCGTAAAACGAGTGTTGCATCATAGAGGAGTTTTTGCTGATATTTTTAGTAACGTTTTATTCAATTCTGTCTCTAATATATCTTTTTTTTTTTTTTTTTTTTTAAACAATCATATAGTATTAAAAGGCTTTTTTAATGGACATATTCAGTGTTTTCTTCTACCGGACCCTTGGTCATTGTTCTATTACATCTTTGTTGTGGCTGTTTAGCACAGAGTGAATGCTCTGTGAATATAGTTTGTTTTCAGGTCTTAAAAGTTAAGAGGGGTGTTAAGTTCTTATACACCTTAAAATCAAGGAGGCCTTAGTAACTGTTAGGGATACGATTAGACAGCATTTGATCAAATCTGAATCCTTTTCAATCAACATACAACAATATATAATAAATATTTCAAATGTGAATATATGCTTATTTACTTCGTAGTAAGTTAACTATCTTTGGGTTTGAAGACAACACCTTGGATTCAAGGGAACTGTGCTGAACATTTTTGACAAATAACAGATTGATAGAGCAAATAATTTACCAATAATTAAAATAAACATTAGTTCCAAACTTTTACTAAGCTTTTCAGATACTGTTCAGAGATTTTCCTGCAGATTAAAGTCATCTCAGCCGTATCCGAAACCACAGCGAGGGACGCGCTTTCTGCTACCGCTTCTATATTCAATCACACGTTTCCACTTCCATCCTCTCCCTGGGTAACCCTGCTTTTAAAAGCTCTGTGGAGTCTAACTGAATTCCTCTCTGTGGCTTCATCACTCATAAAAGGACACATCAGTCACCGGAGGCAAGAGACGCAGCGAGAGAGGAAAGAGGCCAAAAGAGGCAGAGAGGCTCGAGAGGAGGAAGAAAGGGAGATGATGCGATGAAGCGATGCTGCAGACAGAAGACAATCATAAAAAGAAAGTCGGCCCAGAGAAAGAGATGCAGCAGTGAAATAGAAGAATATGAGAAGCCATGCGTCCATTAAGAGAAAATAACACGAGCGTGATGCTGCAGTGGACAGTGAGTGAAAATAAACTGCTTACATCAGTTAGTTCAGCCTACAGAACAACCACAGACAGCAACTATCTGTCCTCACTGCACCTCCTCGAGCTGCTTCAGGCTGTCTGGAAAACGTATAAATACAAAGACGGTGGCTGTAAGACCTCAATTACAGCTGACACACACAATGCTCACTGGTTCCCTCACTCACTGTGATTAATCTGGGTGGCTGGCTTTTAGAAATGATGAGTAGTGGTCACTGCCTGTACTCCCGAAGTCTATGGCATGCAGCGAGGGGAAAGCAGCTGAAACACACGTAGGCGAGATGGTGCAAGATCTCTACTACACTGTGTGTTAAATGTGCACAAAGTATAAAAATCTCTACTTACTTACTTATGTACTTCAAAATACTCAAGTATCTTCATATTCTGCTACTTAAGCTTCTTTTTACAACTTTTTACTCCACTACATTTATTTTATAACTTTAGTAACTTAACGGATAAAAAAATAAATCAACAAAGAAATAATGATCTACTATTATAGGTTTAGATTTATTAAGATACTGTCTTTAAATCATTATATATATATATATATATATATATAAATATAAAATATATATAAAAGGTACAGTCCAGCTTCTAACATGTAAATATTTTCAGCTTTTCTCTGTTTTCTTTTGAAATATTATTTTATTTATAAGTTCAGGTTGGACAAAAGAAGCAATTTAAAAACGTCATATTGGGTTCTTGGAAGGTCCGGCTGGCAATACTTTGATTTTGATAAACTTTTAAAATAATTACCGTAAACAATTTCAATTCAATTTACACCATTATAGATTAAAGAAAAGCAGCACATTGGAGAAGCTGCCATCCAACAATAAACCAATTATCAAAGTAATCACAGATGATTGTTATTGACTAATTGATTAATCGTCTAGTTGTTGCAGCTCTAATGTGAATACTGTGTGTGAATGTGAGTGTTGGTGGTTGCATTCCTCAGTATAAGAGAAAGGGTGTTTAAAAGAGGGTCGCTGATGTATTTAAAGCCTCCTCCTGTCTCCAGCTGGTGTGTGTGTGTGTGTGTGTGTGTGTGTGTGTAGGGCTCTTTGTGAGGGGGTCGCCTCTCTGAACACAATAAGAGGTTTGAATACCAACCGATTGAATGAATGGAGCTGCAGTCATCCTCCCTCCTTTGTCTTCCTCACATACTTCTCATTATTCCTTCTTTTCTTTCCATCTCTCACTCTTTTTCTGTCTCACTCTTTACACTCTGCTCAGCTTGGTTGTCCATGTAAATGTTAATATAGATTGCAGGTAAAACAACGCAAACGCTGGACTACAACTTCCCTCACAATAAGTTACAAACTGAAGATTAAAAGATTAATCCCAAGTGAGTGTATTAATAAAAAAGAGCCTCAAAACAAATGTGAGTATAAATAAAACCTCTGATATTAGTTTAAACAGTCAACATGAGAGATTTGCAAACACATAAATGGCGACACGAATGTGTTAATATTTGCTGTGTGAAACAAAAACACATCCTCAAATGCACCGGAAATGGTTGGACATATAGTTGTGTTTATTTTTGGAAGTAATAGCCACTGCCCTTATTAGCAATATGACTTAAAATATATCCCTCTTGTTAACCTGCCATCCTCCCTCGCCATCCCCTAGAATCAAGGTCCTAAATAGGTGGATGGACCCAAACTCGGGCCTATAACCTATAACATCTTTAGCAGACTTTTTTTTTGTTGTTTTTAAAGATATTTTTAGGCTATTTATGACTTTATCTTTGATAGAACAGGTGAAGATAGACAGGTAAGGAGGGAGAGAGAGAGAACATGCAACAAAGGGTCGCACCCAGGGCACTGCAGCGAGGACCACCTCTACCAGGTGAGCTACCGTACGCTGTAAGATAGATGAGAATAAAAGATCTGCCACAAGAATGTGTAAAACAATGCAGGTTACCCCAGAAAGCTATGGACTGTCAGTATACTCTCACAGCTGTAAGTTACAGTGAGTTTTTAAAACCACTGTTAGTGCTCGTGGTTTTATAGGCGGGACCCTGCTTTGTTTGCTTTAGTGCACACACACACACACACACACAGACACACACAGAAGAGGTGACGCAGGTGGCGATACACTCGACCTACAGGTGGAAAGTCAACATGGATGAAAACTAAACAATGCAGGTTTCAAAGTTTACACACACAAAAAGAAAAAGCTTTGCAAAAGAAACAAATTCAACACGTTTGTTAAGACCTCAAAAGGTCAGAATGTAAAGACTTCACAAAGAAACTCTTTAAACATCTTGAGCTGATGGAAACAGATATTGGTGGTTTTCTTACAGATTCTTTTTAGGATTTAGAGCTTTTTTTTTGCTTTTATTTTGATAGGACAAGAAGAAGAGAGAGAGAGGGGGTATAACACGCTGCAAAGGCCCGCAGGTTGGACTCAAACTCACGGCTGCTGCTACAAGGACTCAGCTCTACCAGATGAGCTCCCAAACACTGATATTGTAATTGTAGACGTGGAACCAAATGAAGGAAGTGAGAGCGAAACATGGGCAAATGTATCAAAATCATCAGTCACACAAACACAGCTTCATAACCACACGCTCACTCTCCAACCACACACACACACACACACACACACACACACACACACACACACACACACACTTACCAGTAGAAGGCAACTTTATCGCCGAGCTTCCTCTCGTGGACGTTGCGGTCGAGGAGGTTGTAGCAGATGTTGGTGGAGGCTCCTTCCATACACTTGACGAATATTTCTCCTTTGGTCACGTCGAAGTTGTAGTCGAGGAACTGACCCGAGTGTTTGGTCTTCCAGAAGAAATCTTTGGCGACGTCGCCCCAGAACTCTGCAGGAGAGGAGGACAAAAGTCTGATGAAACAATGAATAAGTTCATAAATCACATAAAAAAAAAAAAAAAACAGTCATTTTCTGGATTTTATGAGTTTAAAATGTTGCAGCGACTGATTGAACAAGAGCTGTTAGATGATGTGTTTGAGGATTGCCACTTTAAATGAAAAGGAAAATTACCAGCAGAGCTCATAAACTCTGAATAAAAAACATTTTAAATGAACTCAGCTTAAAACGAAACTTAATTTAACTGCCAACGTTGTGATTTCACAATAAGTTGCAACTCAAGTTGGTTAATCATCTTCTTGCTGTACTTTTATTAGTCTGTTCATCATTAACTTACTGTAAGTCATAATAACCTGACATCTCCATACTAATTACCACATCATGATACAACACTGGTGGATATAATAAATGTTATTAAACTGCAGGAGGAACTTTCTGGTTACACTACAGACTACAGAGCAGCTTCTTCACTTCACCCTCCACACCCGACCATAAATATGTTTATTTTAATGCCCTCTTATTATTTATTCATTCATTTGTGTGTGTGTGTGGCATAACGGCACAACCAGAATAATAAATAAAATGAACCTTGTACCCTGAGAGTTACATTACTCTGGCCGACACACTTCACAAGGAAATGACCTGTTTGTTTAACAATAGCTGCACACAGACAGCGTTTCTCTCTCTCTCTCCTCTCCTGCCTGGTGAGTTTAGTACAGGCACGCACCCAAACGCCACAATAAGTGCTTCCTTAATACTGGAATCACAAAATAACCTGTTCAGTGCAGACTGTCTGCAGGTTAAGATAGAAGCACTGTGCTGGTTGGTCATTGGTGTTATTGATTAATGTTCCAATTGTGTTCCTGAATAATTGTCTATAAAATCCTGAAAGATAAATGAGTTTACTGAAATGTAAGACGAGGAAAAGCAGGAAAAACTCACATTTAAAGAAGCTTTAAAAACAACTTGAACAATTTATTTAGAGCTTTAAATCAACTAATTTGCTTATTTTAATGATCAATAATCTGCCAATTACTTCTGTAATGAATCAATTAATCATTTTGTCCCTAAAATGTCTAAAAATAGTGAAAAATCTCCCAAAGATAGATTTCAGACGTGGTGAATAAAAGAATCAAACCTGCAAATGTTTTATGACTAAAACAATTAATTGATTATCAAATAACAGTAAATTCTCTGTCCATCTACTAATCAACTAATCAACTAATCGTTTAATCTCCAGCAGGTTGCACTTGACTTGAGTTATTTAACATTAATTTAATATTAATCGACTTATATCCGGTTATAAAAAATGTAACTTTTCCATATATATTTTAAAAAAAACAGACAAAAATTATTAAAATAATTCTGCGAGCAGGAAAAATAAATCCAGAATGTTTCCAAAACGTAGATTTTATCTCATTTGAATTTCTTAAAGAGTTCGCAGCAGCTTCACTGTGTGTCTGTCCACTCTGATGGTCGCAGCAGCTTCACTGTCGCTTCTAAATGAAATGCATTGACATTTATTAAAAAGGAGTCAGGAGCTGCCTGTAAACTGTAAAGAAAGGGAGGTGAGGTGAGGGGGGGCGCTTACCATCGGGGTTGTCTATGGACTTTAAGTACAGCTCTTTATATTTCTCGAAGCTGGGGACGTGAGCCTCCTTCTTCATCTCTTCACACCCGAGGAAGACGTCTTCCTTCGGCGCTTGGTCAGGAATCATCTCTCTGAAACTTCAGAGACGCTCTCTCGCAGATGATCGATATCGGCTCTGCAGGGACGGACAGAAAAGACGCTGCACAGACACAGACACCTCCTCTTCCTCCTCTTCCTCCTCCTCCTCCTCCTCCTCCTCCTCTTCCTCCTCTTCCTCCTCAGCTGCAACAATGAAGCGATGCAGATGCAGGCTAGGTGCTAGTTTGTGTGCTAGCAGCAAAGTTCATTCAGACTTCCTCGTTCTTCCGGATGTGTGTGTGTGTGTGTGTGTGTGTGTGTGTGTGTCCCTGCTAAGCTAACAGGCTAAAAAGCTCGAGATTGCACCCGCGCGCCGAGACGAGGCCCCGCCCCCCCCTTTTTCCTGCGCGCGCCGTGCTGCCGTTTTTATATTATCGTGTTATTCGTCGGATTTAAAGTGTTTCCTTCGAGTGAAGTCTCATGCTGTCCGGGAGGAGGAAGAGGAGGAAGAGGAGGACTGTTTGTGTGCCAGCGGTGACAGTTGCTGCTTCTTCTTCGTCTTCTTCGTCTTCTTCTTCTTCAGACCTTTTTTTTTTTTTTTTTTTTCTTTGACGAGCGTGTGGCGGTGAACTCTGTTTGGCACCGTCAGCCAATCACAGCGCTCGATGCCTTCACGTACGGGGAGAAAGCTCTGAATTCACACTACTGCCTGTTGTAAATGTGACCCCCCCCACACCACACGGTGCGTTCAAGTGCTGATATTTCAGATTATATTTAAAACTGTACAATTGAACCAAAACAGTTTGTGGATTAAATAATTATTGATTTTCATTAATTTCGAGCAGATATTTCCTGTTTAAGAAACTTTTTATGCTATTATCTGTTTGTATTATGTATTTTTTTTTAAATATAATTTTTAATAATTCTACAAACTTACAAGGCTTTTTACACTTGGCCATTTTTCCGTTAGACAATTTACTTTAAATTTATTTTCTTCACATAAATGAACCAAAATGCTGAGATATAGGTCTACCGTGTATATGTTTAAAGTTTTCGAGCTCACTTTAAAATCAAGAAGGCTTTGTGAACCCCTGTGAAGCTTTGATAGAGGGGGTCGCAATTCTTCTAATAGCAGAAGTTGTTACATTTATATTTACATTTATATATATATTTACATTTATATATATATATATATAAGGTATTTTTAAATAATTTCAGGCAGCAACGTACTTTCAAATTAAATCTGAAATCTTCTTGCAGAACCAAAAGTTTGAATATGTTGTAAACAATATGAAAAATAGTGTCATAATAAATACAGTTTGTATAAAAAAAACATGTACTTCAAAATAAACACATACAAGAGATATATAAAAGAAAGGAGGAATACGTTAAAAAAGAATAAAAGAAAAGAAAAGACAAAAAAAATATGTGGGGGAAGAATTGATATGAAAAATTAAAAATTCAGAAAAGTAATTGTTTAGAAATGTACCGTTATTTAAGATACAAACTTTACTTACATTTTTTGCAATTTATTTTATTTTATTTTGTTCATATTATTGTCATTATTTCTACTTTTTTAAGTCATGTTACTTATAAGACACAAACAAAATATCCCAAATAACAACCAGTGATTAAATTCATCACTTTTACATTCAGGAATATTTCAAAACTTGTTCTTATGTTTGTTCTTATTTACTAATTTTATGTTCATATATACATTTTTTTTAACTAATGAACAGCTGGACCTAATAATCTATGACATAAGTTGCTGTCTGTTCAGTTAAGAAAATGTATATTAATATAAACTTTATATTTCTTTATCAATATAGATTCATCTTCAGAAAACTACAACAGTTGTTGTGACTCAATGTTATCGAGCACTGCCCTCTATGGACAATATTGTGTATTGCACTTTTTAAAATCAGGCTTTCTATTGTTTCCTTAAGAAAAATGTCTAGAATAACGTGACCCTAAAATAATAATAATAAAAATAATAATGATAGTAATAATAGTAATAATAATAATCAACTGTATTTAAATAGCAGTACCTAACAATAATATAAGACAAACACATGAATAATAATGATAATAAAACAGACATGTTGGTAATAAAAAGGTGTGCAAGTATTAATAAAAAGCTTTTTTAAAAGAAGCTATCACTGCAGATCAATACTACTTACATTAATGTGATTGGTTTCAGGAACTCTGTGCGAACTGATTTCATGTTATAATGTAAATAAATCCAACCAATGGCTGTGTGGACGCAGTAAACACAGTCTGAAACTCTGCAGTCAGATTAGGTCGACATTAATGTTTATATGTATAAATGTATAAATGTATAACTGTGATCAGAGGAGGGGAGAATGGTAGTTCTTTAATCAGTGAAGTTTGGTCTGACAGACAGCAGGTGGCGCTAATGATCGACTTTAGAAAAAAAAGATAGATAGATAGATAGATAGATAGATAGATAGATAGATAGATAGATGATAATATTTCTTGTCCAAATGTGCACCAGTATGGTTTAGACGCAACAAAAAAATGTTTTAAAAGATAAAACATCCCTAAAATCACTTGACAACAGGTCATTTTAACTTTTAGACCTGTTCTGAGATCAGTGTGTGGCCCCGTGTGATTGATCCCCCGGTTGATTCAGCTTTTAAATGTTTCTCGTGTTGAAGAGTCACAACGTCTTACAGGTCCCAAACCTTTTGTCTTGTGACCCCTGACAAACAATCAGTGTCTGGTTGAGGTCACGTTTGTTAACGAGTTCAACCAAAGAGACATTTCACCTCCACACTTCTCACATGGTTTCAAATGTGTGAGTCCCCAAAGACGTCAAATAATCCGGCATTTCACAAAAAAAAAAATTATTGACGATTAGAATAAAGTCCAAAAAATAAGACAAATTTGTGTTTTAGAGCTTTTCTTTTTACTCTCTCCCGACCCCTCAGATTGATCTTGTGACCCTTTGGAGGGGCCCGACCCCTGCATTGAGAACCACAGGACTAAAACCCTTTTTGAGCCGTATATAAAGTATTTAAATTACAGTAAAACGCCGCCTCTAGCGTTGATGCATCAGTAATCTTATTGATCGTCTGTTTCCTGAAGCCGGACTGTAAACACTGTTATTACATTGTGATACAGGAAGTGAGCTCTTTTTCTTCCCCCACTGACTGTGCTGTCTGTTTCTGATTAAAGGGAGGGGTGCGACACTCTGGAAACCTCTCGGGGGCCCTTTGTGATGTCACAGCTATGGACTGCTGAGGGTCAAAGGTCGACCGCAGGGCCCGGACCGAAGGATCATGTGTGATTCACAGAGATTGCTTTGTTCTCCGTGTGTTTAACTCTGTTGTTGCCTCCATGTTCCTCTGATCTGCTGAGTGGTTTATGGAATATATTGTTTAGATATAGTTTATTTATTTAATGTAAATATTTCTTATTATGGAAAATAGAAATATTCAATCCAATGGACTGATCAAAGATGCAATAAATGAAAATGTAATTGTTATTATTTATTTTATTTATTAATAAAAATAAAGAAACATATTTAGAAGTTTATTTGTTTGTGTTTTTACATTTGCTGTTGTGTTGTCAACAAGTTTTTAAAGACATCTTAGGGGGCTTGGCATGGAAAAGATTGGGAAGCTCTGCCTTAGTCATCTATTTTATATAATATATATGTTTGACATAATATATTATATTTGATATGTCAAATTGACTGCTCCTGTATCGCCACGTTAACGTTTGTGGTTTGAGTGTCTTCACAACTATTGGTTGTATTAACATGAAGTTCTGAGATAAACTTTAATAATAACTCTGACTTTTCCATCACTCAGATCAACATTTTAATTCATCCAATACTTTGTTGTTGTTTGTTGTTGTTGAGGAGGCGAACTCAGTGTTTACATCAGTGAATGAAACCATTTTATCATCACTACCTTGTTGCTGCTGTTTACATTTAACCAGACTCAAAATCAAAAGATGCACAATTATTTCCTGAGTGTAAATCTCTCCGTACATATGTATATAAATTACTGTATATATTGCGCCTACAGTACATGGCTGCAGATCCCAGCCCTGTTTATATCCACTGGGAGTTCCCTCTGTGATTCACGGGTTTGTTAGAATTAGTTAATGACGGTCACGCCGCTGATCCGCACAAAAAGATGAACTCAAGAGATTCAATCAAAACAAACGAGTGCTGACGTGGAAATACTGTTTTTATTGTCTGTACCAAACTGGATTGAAGAAAAATCGAGTTCACCAGAGTATAACAAACACATCAAAGTCCAGCAGAAACAGAGAGGAGGAGAGAGACTCGGGTGGCCCTCGGCCCCGCAGTGTACGCGCTTATTGCCACTGGTTGAGAGGGGGGGGGGGTAGAGGTCAGACAACCCCGTTACCTAAAGCCGTTAACACAACACACCTGTGGTGACCCCCTCCCTCCCTCCCAGCGGCTCCTTCAGGTGTGACAGTTTAATACCACACACAGTCCTTCCTCAGTGACACTTACAGTAACACACTTCACTGCTCTCATTAAAACCCAGACAGGAGTCGACACACAACGACCTGGAACACTTTCAGCGGGCTCGAAGCTGCAAACACCGGGCGACTGCCAGAAACCTCTCCACACATAATGAAAGGAACAAATCTCATTATGCTACAAATCACTACTGGACAAGCAACTGAAAGGGATTACAGTAACAGACTGTTGGTGGAGGGAGGAGGTTACATTGGCACTGGGTTCAGTACAGAGGCCACTATGTAAAGGGGGACTTCTGCTCCCCCTTTCTTTTTTGAAGTTGCATAACACACACACACACACAAAAAAAAGCACTTCTTCGCTAAGGCTCGACGACGCACGTTCATACGAACTGCTCCGGAAAACGTCACGAGTTCGCTGTTCTGGCTACAGTTTCCCTGCATTGAGAAGGCTCACAGTATACAGAGAGTGTGTTTGTTATAGTGAGTGTCCGTCCTCGGTGCGCTACGATTTGTCTTAGCATTAACCCACCTAACAAACATCGATGGGTTTCCTTACTAACAGGATCTTCTCCAAAAACGGGTTAATATGGGAGTTTGGATATGAAACGTGAGCCTCAAAACGGCTCAAATCTGCTGGAGGATGAATTTTAACCTGCTCACAGAGAGCGGGGGGAAGCTGAAACAACTGGACAACTAAACTGATGAATATAAAATTAACTGGCAGCTAATGTGATCAATAAACCCCTTTGTTCACACAAAAACACCAGAAATGTTGCTTGTTCCAGCATCTAAAATGTGATTATTTTACTGTTTTATATCATCAGAAATTCAATTTCTTCTGGTTTTTCCACTTTTTAGACAAAACATTTCATTATACGACTTTCAGATTTGAGGCATTTTAAACTATTGTCTGACATTTCTTTTAGATTAAACAATTAATTGAGGGTTAGGGTTAGGCAGATTAATCAATAACGTTCATTAGCTGCAGCCCTATTAGGAAGCTCTAGTCTTTACAGATACTTTAATTCAAGCTGCTGTGTCTGACAGTCTCCACAATATTAGGTTTTGGTTACTGAAACAGGGGAGAAGATGATCCTGACAGTAAGGAGCATTTTGAGAAACCACACATCTTCAGGAACAGTTTCTGTTGTGTTTCCTCTGAACTTAAAACATATTTAAATTTAAAAGAATTAGTCTGAAGGTTAAAGTTCTGGTTGCAGCTTTGAGGTTTCACACACATCAGATCAGCAGCAGAGGAAATGGAGCCCTTTTAAACACACAATGTGTCGGACAAATGAACCTGTTTTATATTTGGTATCTATCAGACCTTCACTGCAGCCAGATTAACTTCCAGCTTATTCTGCTTTTGAATTGTCTGTATGATCATTTTCCTGCTGCACTGCCATCATCGGTGGACTTTTGAGTGAAATGAGCTACGAGTCCAACAGCGTTCACCTATCACCGCATGTGAAAACTCTCAAATTAAAAGCTGAAAGTCAGTCCGAACTTTAACCTCAGAGATTGAAACGCAGTGTGCTGGAAGGAAGTACAGAGACTAAACAAAAGTTCACCACACTCACAAGGTTGACTGTGCTTAGAAACAAGGAACGCCTCAGTTTTAAATCACTCATTGGAGTGTAAAAGAAAAAGCATACATTCTGAAAACAATATTTCTAAAAAAGTCTTTTTTTTTTTTTTTTTTTTAAGATGTGGTCTTACTACCAGAACATACAAACACTTAAAACCCAGGCACCCTCTGATTCTGTGCAAAATCCAACCCTTCTAACTCACGGCAGTGCTTGTAAAAAGGCTATCAAATCACACAGCTACAACACTTTAATAGTAACTACCTGCACATGGAGAGCTGCTCTATCAGCTGTTTGTCCAAAAGAGGAAAATGCTCAACTCAGCAGCTCAAGGCCAATTGATCTTTAATTTAACACTACAGAATATGTTTGAGTCTGCAGCGGTGATACGAGTCTACATTTAAAATCACTGCAGACACAAACTTACATCTTCTAGCTAAACAGGTGGCAACAAAAAAACAACAAATTATGTGAAACTAATATGAAACAACCATAAATATATATATATTTTTTTGTTTGCTTTATGAGCTTTTTGATGGAAGACAGGTGGTCTGCTGCATCCTGACACATCTGAGCTTTTGTCCAAAATACCTCCAATGTTGTTTATTTTCAGAACACATAAAAAATGACTAACAGTACAAACATTTGCCCCAAAAACAGCAGACTTACATTAAAGTAAAATTTAAAAAAAAAGCTATGAAAAATGCTTGCTTATGAAAAAAAAAAGTATTGTTTATGATTAAGGCCATTGATAAAGTTATGGAGTCCAATAACAACAAGTTGCTGTTAACAGGGTTTGTGTGGAATTAACACTAGTGCGTTCAAATTAGGTCAAACATGACATTTTTTTTACACAGTACAGTGGAAAAACTGGTCTCAAATTAGATCCACAATATACAATATTAGTATTAAAATTGGTCAATCAGGGTGTGGAAATAGAAAACAAACAAAAAAAAGGGAGGGAAGGGGGACACCTGTGTTACATTTACAGAAAGGAATCAGCCTTCAGTGTGGCAGGCATCAACTCATTGATCCCACGTTGGTTTTAAACAGCTTTGGGAAAAACTAAATCCAACATAATCAGAGCAGAAGATTCATCGGTCCACCCGACTGCCGGGCAGATATCAGACGAACGTCTCGACTGTGGTCGGCTACATGTAGCGAACTGATCGGCCGCGGTCGGAGCTCACAGTGTTTGCAATGTGGCTGGTAGGGATCTCCCATCGCCCTTCAGGAACTAGTTTCTATTGGCCGGGGGCTGATTAAGGGCCACTGGTATAAAACAGTGCATGTGCCTCAAAACAGACGTACAAAACAATCAGTTTCTAACTTTTTTTGCACTTTTTTGGGGGCTAAAAGTTGGCGGCGTGTTGCTCACATATCGGCTCGAGGAGTGAGCGACTATCCTGGAGTTAAGAATTGCACATTTAGGAAGTCTGAAACGTGAACACCAAGGTCGAGTGGGAGCAAAAAGACAACTGATATGCTGATTTTCTGAAAGCGATTCTCTCTATTGTCGTTGGCTGGGAAAACAAGTTTGTGCACACAATCTTTCCAACAGAGCGACCATTCAGTGAGCGTGAGAGAAAAACTCTAGAAAACTAATGTATAAAGTCGAGAGCATGACGGACAGGTGCCAAAAAAAACAAAAGGTTTCAAAACATTCGACAAGGAAAACAAGACAAACAAAAAGAAATAATGAAATGGAGTGGGGGGGGGGAGACAATGTGATAAAACAGTAGCATACATTTACAAAAGCTCTTTTGAAGCTGAACAGGACAAAATCAGGATGGGGTCCTTGGTGGAGACAATTAGTCAGAGGTGGGAAAAAAAAAAGGCCGAGAGAAGACCCGACTGTTGCCTTGTCCCAGACTAAACCCTGAGCCCTTCAGTGTTAACGTGTGCTGTCCAGAGGCGGCTTTCTCCTCACTCAGAAACGCCTGCAGGTTCAAATTTTTACTATTTCAAAAGCACAATTATAGTTAGCCTGACTGAAATTGGCAAAAATACAAAATACACTTCAGATTTGGTTCCTAATAACGCAAAACCAGGTTCCTTCTAGTTGGGAATGTGTTATCTTTTCTTTTTTTTTTACTCATTTCTGTACATACATCTTCCTTCAAATGAATAAAATTCAGTGTCAACAGGAGAGGCACAAAATGGCGGCAGTGCCATCAAACATAAAAAATACAATCGGGGTTAGTTTGGGACAAAGTGACCGGTGAACTGACAGCCGGATCTTCGGAGGAGGTTCTTCACGTTTGATTTGTTTCAAATTGATTTTTAAACATACAACCACACACACATGCACACACACGTATACACACACGCACACACACACACACGCACACACAGAGAACATCACCGTGTTTTTCACACTCAAGTCCATTACAAAAACCAGATATGTACTGCTTGATCTGGTTTGGGAAAGGATGGGGTTACAGGTGAGGGAGGGAGGGAGGGAGGGGGGAGGGGGAGACTGACAGGTGTGTAGGAGGAAGAGGCTGTGACCGAGGCTTTGTGGATTATTGGTTAAAGATGTTTCAGCACAGAAGGAGCTGAGCTGTACGGCGGCTGAAGGCTAGAGGACGAAGAAGTCCGGCAGGCTGGGGGGCGGAGGGGTACGGGCAAGGCGGGAAGGGAAGGGAGCCACAAGTCGAGATCTAGTTTGGTGTTGGGATATAAAACCAAACTGGCTGTCTTGGCTTGAGGAAGGATCTCGAGGTGGGTTTGTAGACCAGGGCATCTAAGTGAAAAGTTGCTTGCAGTCTTGAATATTAAAACTCCTCCTGCTCCTCTGCATCCGGTATCACGAAACCCTCCTGGAGACACAGAGAGAGAGAGACACAGAGACAGAGACACAGAGAGAAAGAGACAGAGACACAGAGAGACAGAGAGAGAGAGACAGAGACACAGAGAGAGAGAGAGAGACAGAGAGAGAGAGAGAGAGAGAGAGAGAGAGAGAGAGAGAGAGACAGAGAGACAGAGAGAGACAGAGAGAGACAGAGAGAGAGAGAGAGAAGAGAGAGAGATATGAATGAATGAACAGCAACACTGTACAGTTTGAATTTGACACACATCAAGCTCAGCATCTTTGTTTGGAGCCAGAAAATTATGCAACGTGGGTGTTTCTATATTTGTTAATCATTGTGGTTAGTTACATATGGATCTCTCAGAAACACTCAGGAAGGGTTCTCACTGATTTGATGTGCTGTTAAATGCTGGTTAGCTTGTTGATGAGCTACTTCAAGATTAGAAGGGCAAATAATTATAACTCATTGATTAATCTGTCCATTTTCTCAATTGATCGTCTGCTATCAGAGAATATTTGGTATTTATGCTTAAACGATTACTAAAACCACAATTCCATTATCAAAACCGCTGCCAATTGATTTTCTGTGAATAGACTAATCGGTTGAATAATTGTTGCAGCTCTAGATAAGATCAATTTGAGATATTGATCCTCAGTGGGAAACTGCAGCAGCACAAAGAAAGACAAGTACAGACAGAAGGAAAGAAGTAGATTTGTTTGTTTGTTTTTAACTCTCAGATATCAGCTTGTACTTAACTTACAGTCAATATACATTGTGAGTTCATGTTGATTAAAATAAATCTGCTCTGGGCTTTACAGTAAACAGGAACACCAATCGAAGTTTCTCTTTCAGATGTCTGAGAGTTCCAGTAATCAGATTTCACTACAGACATAAACCAGTTTCTACAGTAGCACTAAAAACACCCATTAATGGAAGTCAGATCAGTCGAATTATACCATGAATTATATCTTAAATGTTATATATTTAAACTTTTACCTTGTGTAATACAAGAATCAGTTACACACCACACCGATGGTTTATATTTAACAGTGTGTGCACAGGAGCTTCACATGTTCACATGGAGGACAGTATCACTGGAAGCTTCTGGGCTCAGTGAGCGGAGCTGCATGCCATTCCTCTGCAGGAATTTACACTGGCATCAGCAGTTGTTAACAGCACAGCAAATGGGCTTTAATCTGGTATTGAGCTCAGAAGATATTATATAACACATTTGTTTACAGAGGATATTTTAAAAGGAGGAGGCCGGTGAGGTTTTTTTTTATATATATATATATATATATATATATATATATATATATAATAAATGTTATTGTCAATAAAACTAACTCAACACTTCCCCAGCCTCTTGCCCTTAAATCCACTTCACAAATATGTAAGTTTAATTTCTTCTACATCAGCTGCTCACTATATTGTACATAGAATATAACCAGACGTCTCCATTGAGGATTACACACACACTGTTTACAGCTTTATCTTTATGTGTAAAACTGCTTCACATATGCATCTTTCTATGGCTTCATTTGTAATTTGACAAAAGGATAACATTTTCATATCTACCCTTTTGGTCTTTAAAAGTCGGTTGGTCTCAACTCCGAAGCCTTCAAAATGAATTAAAGCATTACTAAACTTCATCAACAGGCAAGTTCTGTTTCATTAAAACAGATTATAAACTCACGTCTGTGGCGTAGAGGATGTCTATGATCCTCTGCAGCGTGGGGTCGCCCTCTCCTTCCTTCTCCTGGCAAATCAGCTCGATGTTCCTCAGCTTACCAAAATAAAAGTCTCTCTCCTTCTCCATGTCCTGAATGGTAGATTTCAGGATCTCCATCTGTTGGAAAAAGGGGGCAAATTAAAAGCTTCATTTATTTGCTTGTTGTAAAACTAACAAGTTATTTCACTTTTCAATAGCGATTGTGTGGAGCTGGTGACTATGTTTTCACACTAGTGTGCTGACCTCATTCAGGAGCTCCGCCCTTTCCTCGTCACCTCCTCCCATCCCAGGCTTCCTTGCGCTGACGTTAGCCAATTTGGGTGCTACTTTAGCAACGGGTGGCCTCTGGGGAGCTGAAGAGACGAGGAAGACAATGTTATTAACAAGAGAACAAACGTTCACACTGAGGGAAACTTACCGGCATTTCCCCAGCTTGTTCATAATTTATCAATTTCAAACAGTTTGACCAACCAGAGCTCAGACCTTGACTGAGGGCCTTTTTAGGGGGTTTGTTGAGAGCTGACATGGCAGAGTTGGGGGTGGGCATGGCATCCTGTCCCTGTCTCGCCTCCACTGGGTCGTACTCCTTCCCATCGTAGTTGGCATCAAAGAACTTCTTAAACCACTGGACAAACTCAAAGTTGTCCTGGAACTTCCCCTTCACCAGTTTGTCTACTGGAATGATCTGGAAGCAAAAAAAAGAGAGAATCAAGACCAGGATGTTTGGACAGGTGTCTGCCTGGTAGCTTCAGGTCAACTGAGCTTTTATTTCTCTGTTGGCATTAGTGATGAAAATTGACGGCCAGTGTGTGTCACAGCTGGCATTTTCACTATCATTGTCAACACAGTCCATGGACACCAAAATTATACGTTTGGATAGCCTTCACTTTATTTTCTTTAACTCTTTATTTACACAGTAACAGATTTTTTTGGCCACTTGGGGACAGCAGAAACACAACATTGACTGATAATCTTTTAAGGTGATATTGTAAACTGCTTGGATGAAGTTGCTTATTTAGACATTTACGGAGCAAAATGATCATTCATTTGGAGCTGTGTTTGATGAATCACAATATTCACTCTCTTGTAGCTTCATTCTTGGTGTCTACCAACTCCTGAAAGAAATATCTGGCTCTTTAGCTGCTAAATGCTCAATTATGTTCACCAGTTAGTCTCTGAGTCTGTCTGCCATTTGCTGCTGAACATGTAGCGCACAGTGGGCTTTTCCCTATGAAAACAGCTGCCTGTTGTGGCCAAAAACCACACTATGAGAGCCATGAGAGTGAAACAAAACAGTAAAGTTGTTGTTGGACGGCTAAACAATGAGCTGAAATGAAATACACACCTCCATAAAGCCGGGGGGAGCTGCAGATTCAGCTGATAATTCTCTGTATGTACCGAGTGATTAATCTACATTGTGTATGTATGTATAGACTGTGTAGGACACTAGACACAGAAAAGAAATGCCTTCACATACATTAAACACAAAGTCACAGTGAGAGAAAGAAGAGAGAGCAGCAGTAACACACAAAACAGAAGTCAGTGGGAAAGGCTCAGCAGTAAACCTATTATTCAACAATGGAGGAAGCTGACATCATTGGACAATACACACTCACAAAGCATGAACGAGGGCAAAGTCCACAATACAGACACAATGCCTGGGATTATGACCCTGAACAGCTACGAATACACCAATGTGCTCTACATGTTTGAGTATCTGTTACACTGATCTATGGAATGAAAGACCGTCCGAGCGTTTCAAACAGTCCACACATCTGCAGTAATGGCTTCAAACAAATGGATGACAGGAAGGAAGTTGAGCCATGAATAAATTATGGCACCTTTGTCAATAGTCCTGCAAGCTGCTGCATGTTTCAGTCTGAGAACAACGGATGACTTAAACTGGGTCCGCCCTGCCCTTTATAATCTGTGGAGACCTTCTGACAATAAAAACAATACGAAGAGTCTCGATCTGCAAGAAGTTATTTAAAGAAATTACAGTGAAAAGCCTCTGATGAAGAGGGGAAACTGAAACTAACACAGCTGAGCATTTCAGATGTATTTCTGCCTACGAACTGCCGTCTCGAAAACAGACGAAACATAACGAAGTAACTATAATATCCAAAGAGCGACAGACGAGCTACCAAAGTGCTGAGAAATGAGTGACTCATGAACCAGATGGTTGGGAGGGGATGACAGGAGTTTGCATATCAGGCAGCAGTAATGAACGTCTGGTGAAGTCACTCTTAAAACCTTTTACGACACTCTGATCTAACGACCGCCCCGGGGTGACCGCGAGACAACACTATGTTTCCGGTTGTTACACAATTTCAAAACTCCAGACCTTTAAATATTTGCTTTCATTCTTTCTGCAGTCCTTTAAAACAGTCGCTCTATAGACGATTATTCTTTACAGTTACTGAGTGGGTGAGATGTGAGGGTTAGTATATTAAGTATAGCTGCAGTGTTTCTCCCCACTACAGGAAGGAGTGGGCGGGTTTCACAGTAATCTAGACCAATTGCTCACTAATCCTCAATAATCAGGCAACATGATTAATGGTCACTCATTTTCACTGCTACTGATGGCGGCTGTGAAGAAGCCTGCGGCCGGTAATGTAACCCAAACACTTCCTACAGTCGCTCCACATTAAAAAATTCTCATCGCCCCGGCCATGGGAAGGTTTTTATTTTTAAGCCAGACTTTGACATTTTCTCTACACAATTGAAAACGGTCTTTCAATGACGCATGTAATGGATTACAGGGAGAAATGTGTGGTCTATTATTTCCAGTATTCTACACATTGATCATATTGTAATCTTATATTGTAAAGTTATTTGACAACTGGAGTTGCTCTTCGTCAGCAGCAATTGTAAAGAGATCTTCATCCTGTGTTTGCTCAGAACGCCGCAGTACAAAGTTGACTTTTAAGAATAAAAAATATTAATCGTATGTTCTTCCAACTGATTTTTGCAGATTCCTTTGTAATAACATCTGGGGAAAATGGTAAAAAAAAAGAAAATACCGCCATAGCACTCGTTTACATAGTCATGCCCTCTAATATCCGAAATTCCTTCATATAGTCTCGGACTATCTGCACTTATGTATGGTGCACACCATGTAATTTGAGGCCGACACTTGCGCAGTATGTGCGTGTTGTTACTTACTTTGTCGACTCCCATCTTTTTGAAGGAAACCTGCAGAAGCTTGTAGTTATGGATGTATTCATGCTCCAGCTTGGCACCGAATTTAACTTTCTTCAGAGGCACAGAGTTGGGAAACAGCATGTCCATGAACTGGCAGTAGGCAGCACCTGCACGAGAGAAAATACCAAGGATAAAAATCACATTACAAGTCCTATAATGTCTGATGTGGTCAAATCCTGACAACGACTGAGTGCGTGCTGCATGTTCAGAATCAGCGGATGCCTAAAAACAAGAATAATAACATGTAGGAGTGAGAGAGTAACAAAAGGATAAGAATAGAGCTGGTTCTCCTTTCAAGGGAGAATAGAGAACACAGACAGACACAAACCATCCTCTTTAAAACGCCTTTTGTCTGTCTGTACTATTGGAGCAGCTGAGAGTCTACTCACTGGCTCAAATCACCGTATTTACAAACTCACAACACTCGTCTTAAGATGCCATCCCAAAATACCTTTAATATTCTGATGGGCTGTACTGAATTATGAACATTAGGGCTTGGTATCGAACCTCAATTGGGGCCAAGTATTGAAAGCTAATACTGAATGCCTGGTGACAGTCTTGATTCCTATAACTTCTTTGCTTCTATAAGTTCTTATATGTCTGTTTCTCCAGTTGTCCTGAATGGGGGATCAATAAAAATAGTTTATCCAAAATAATGATAATGATGAATGATTGAAGTGTTAAATACTGGTGCAAAATTAGTATTAGTTTTCAGTCCCAATCAAACAACACCAGCCCTAATCAATGTGCACCCATGCTCGTGATACCAAATCCACCTGGATGCAGCTGCCGGATCACCTGAGATTTTGTAAATAAAATGATCAAATTAGTGCATCACTCGAGGCTGTAGAGATGGTTATTATATTTCTATTAATTAAAGTATATGGCATATTTCATTTTTCATTGTGAGCTCTTAACCTGCGTATTAAAATCCAGTTGAGTCATATCTGTCTATTAAAGATTAAAGCAAGCTGCACCAGCATGATCTGTTCTGACACACCTTTTAACTTGAGGTTTAGATATTAAACAAGCCAGACAGACAATTTGCAGAAGTACAACACGTGCATGCACAGGCAGATGGTTGTGAAACAAAGGAGCTGAGGATATTAGCTGTTCAAAGGCTTTGGGTAATAGGATATTTTCCCGTTGAACTCTTTGAACCATTGACAGATGATGTATCTGACAGAAAGGTCAGACAGGGTGTTTTTCTGTCAAGCAAACTCAGCATCCTTCTACTTGTTTTTATTGTGAAGCACTTAATTTGCCTTTGAAAAGGTGCTGCTATACAAGTAAGATTATAATATTATCTACTTTAAATGATGGTCCTAGCAGCCAGTTACCATCAAAGACCTCTGGCTCAAACGTTGTTTCTACTTACACCTGGCTAACCCTGATGGTCATTTAAGGGTCGAGGCCACTAATGCTGATGCACTAAATCCTGACATGTTTCACCCTTTTGGTTTAAAGAATCAGCTCTAACGAGATTACGGTCTTGTTAGCACACTGTGTGCAGTTTGCCAACTGTGTTATTAAATTAATTTCAATTCAAATTTTAAACTGTGCAAATGTCAAGTTCTCCCTATCTTGCATCAGCCTGTAAGAACAGATTTGGCTGGTTTAAGTGATAAAGACAGAAGCTTCCGTGTTCTACCTCTCACACTGACACACTCTCACTTCAGCATTCGTGACGACTGACCAACTACACAACACCAGTGAAGTCACACAATCATGCAAACTTTTCTGGAAGCTGACACCTCTATTTCCTGCCGTGAACATCATCCTGGAAGTGTTTCAGGCGGTCTGACAACTGTCTGTTAAATGAAACATTTCTGGTTCTCCGACAATAAGATGAAAGAGTTTTTTATAAACTAAAATTTCTTACCTGTACACAACATTTCTATCTTGGTGAGGTTCATCTGTAGAGACTCGTTGATCCAGACCAACATGTCATGGCGACTTAAGTTGTCGCTGGTCACTGAGGTTGAGTAAACGTTCACAGCCATTGTCGGTCGACTGCTGACACAGAGGAGAGGAGAAGTGGGAAATGGAGATTAAAATTTACATGATGACTAGTTTATGTGTCAGAGCAGCTGGTAGAGCAGACAAACACTGTATTATTATTATTATTATTATTATTTGCTGAATCATTTTGCACTATAAACTGGTTTGTAAATGCAGCTAAATTTCAGGTTGGTGGAAAAATAAATTGGGTCACCAGGTGGTTGGTGAATAGTTTGGATTTACACTGGCAGCTTACAACTCTATGGCACTTTCTACACAACGTTTGTCTTTGTTTTTGCCACCAAGTATTATTTTCATTACCGATTTTCTCTATTATGGTACAAAAACATCTTCAAATTCACTCTTGTCTGACCAATCAGTCCAAGACCCCAAAACCATTAGATCAATATCATATAAGACAGCATATGTTCACATTTGAAAAAGCTGGAACCAGTGAATTATTGGCTTTTTTGCTTAAAAAAAATGACTTAAGATATTACTCAATGACTGAAATAGTTGCTGACTAATATTCTATCTATTGACCAATCAACAAATAAGTCTGGGTAACATAATAAAACAATACACAAGGATTTAAGATTTATTGTAATCTAATCACATGGAGAAAAACCAGCCTGAACCACTGATTTTGGCAGGCTGACATCTCATTTTGGATTTGCCTGAAGTTAGAAATCGTCAAGCAAAATCCAAGCACTGGGAAAGTAACACTGGCTGGCACCAATCAATCAACATATAACTTTACACTTGAGACAAGACTTGAAGGCACACCCAAATACGCTGGCATCCAGAACAATACTTTATTATGATCTACAAAAGTAAGAAGAAAACAAGTGACTGATCATGTGTGCACTATAATCGTTATGGATATATAATGAGACTCCATAAAAGGTCTTTTACAGTACAAACTCACATCCTCAGTCCCTGCTGGGGCTCATCTCCAGGTCAGACTGGGCCAGTTATTTCCTCAACAGCTGAAAGTAATAGCTGGGGGGGGTTCACTTTATATGTAGTCAACTATTGTATTTGGATGCACAAAATCTGATACTGGTAGATGATTCCACATCTTAACGAGAGATAATTCTGTCATGTGAGTAGCGTTGAGACTGTGTTGCCTATTCATGAAATAAAAAGTCTTACCTGCTGTTGCCACTGTATTGTATCTTTAAATGCTAACTAATGATTTCTGCCTGACCTTTACGAGCACGGAGCTGTCAAAAATAACTTTGAAATAAACTGGACTCAAAAGCGTAACAACTCAACAATAGAGTTAATTATTTACTAGTTATTTTTCGTGTAAAATAACCAAATGTTCTCTGCTACCAGCTTCGGTTTTTCTCTGCTTTATATGGTTGTAAATTTAGTCTGCTGTAGTTAAAACACGAAACACATCTCATCATCTGCCGCTCTACTTCACAAACTCCAGATTCTGACTATTTAACGACATGAATAGTTCTCAAATGTGTGTCTTTATTTATAACATAAATGTGTTTAAAAGGGAATATTTTGGAGCATTTACTTTCAAGCAAATTCACAGATTCGTCAATCCTCAGAATTTCTCACCTGCATCTGTGAAATGTTATAAAAGACGCTTAAAAAAAACACTTATTTTTGCTTTTATTGTTATATATTTGTCTCATTATTAGCTTTCCATCACTTTTTTTTTTTTTAAACCTAATTAAAACCTAGGTTGCCTCTTCCTGCACTTATTATCTTTGTAATGTGCAAAAATAAATACAACTAAAATAAAATATAAACTAAAATATCTAAAACATAATTATTTCAAATTGGGCTCTAAGGGGATTTTTTTTTTTTTTAATTTTTTTTATTTCATAGATTTTAAAAAAAATGTATTAAAAATAAATAAGAAGTAGATTGTCAACAATTAAAATAATGTTTAATTTGAGCTCCACTAACCGACGTTGCGGCTAATAGCAACCGTTAGCTCACCAGGGCCGAGCTAACGGTAACGGCGGTTAGCTCCACATATAGCTAGCCTCTCTTAGCATAGCTCGTGTGGCCGCCCAACAGACGCTGTGAGCGGCCAACCACCGATGGGACGAACCGGTTAAAACCAGCAGCCAGTTTACAACCGGGCGAACCGAGACGGAGCTATAGTTGGCGTCTGTCACCCCCCCTCCCCCACCCCCCTCCCCGCTCCCCGCTCCACCTCCACCTCCACCTCCCCTCCGCCCTGAAATCCACCGGAGCACCTTGTTAGCTTCAGTTAGCTTCAGTTAGCCTCTCGCTGTTCGTTAGTGCGACACACGCTCAGCGTTCAGGAGGGGGGGGGGCGGCCGTTGGTCCGCGCGTTCATCCAACGGTTACCGACGGCCACAGTGAACGGTTACCGCGGCGGAGGAGGAGGAGGAGGAGGAGGAGGTGGAGGGTGGGGAATCAAACGGGCTCACTCCCGGTTCCTGTTCCTGCTAGTCACGGGCTACAGCTAACATCGCGGCTAACGGCGCGGCTAACGGCGCAGCTAACGGCGCTCCCCCTCAACCCGCCGCCGCCGCCGCCGCCGCCGCTCACATGCCGGCAGACAACCGCTAAATGACACCGCGTTTCAGCCCCCCGCTGGACCGGACCTCCTTACCTTGAGTGGGGGGGACTCTCACAGCTCTCGGACGCGATGGTTTCTATGTGTGTCGGCTGTCACTCTCTGTCATATAAAGCCTATCTGTGGTCGTTTCGACGTTATTGCCTCTTTTCTTCTTCTTCCTCTTCTTCTTCCTCTTCTTCTCCTTCTTGGCACTTTCACGTTCACTCTACCGGCAGCGGAAGAACCGATTTCATGACGTCACGACGTAAAGGGTAACGCCCTAAACGTAACGTAGCGTAACGTAACGAGGAGCCTTGGGTGATGCGACGCTGGAGACGAATGTGGTCATTGTTGAGATATCTTTAATAAAACATGAATAGTAAACAAATTAATGGTGTAATTGCAGTGAACAGTATTTATGTATTTATAATAAAGTATTTAATAATGTGTGAATATTCTTATGTATCTATTTGGATGAAGATGAAAGAGGTTTTCATTTAAAATGTTACATAGAAAATATCATGTAAAGCATATTCTGCTAGATTTAACTTGATATTTACCATTCGAGTTGATTTCTGTGGTCTAAACAAGACGCATTTTCACTTGTTTCTCCATTATTTGCAATTAAGTTCAATTCAATGGTTAATTTCAGTTTTATTTGTTATATTGTATTATCTCATGACACTTTTCATACAGAGCAGAGCACACAAAGTATTTTATTCATTTATGATAAGCCTTTTCCGCTTGGGAACTAAACTGTGGCTTATAATATTGACAATATTGATCGTGTTTCTAATGAATATTTGTAGGAAGCTTGCTGCCATAAAGGGATCGTCAGCAAGGCTGTAGGCAGGCGTTTAAATATATGGAGATCTTAAATAAATGAGACATCCTGAGTTATGTATTTCTATATTTATTCAGTTAATCAAGTAAAAAATAATTCTCACACATGAAGGTCTAACGTCTGTTTTAAAATCCTGGTATGAGGAAGAACTGAACCTTCATGTAATTATATTTTTCACCTGAAATTAGAACTTATTAGACTATTCTCCTATAGATTTACTGCCGCCAGGATGTCAAAAACAAAGAGGAATTGCCCTCTGTGTGCTCAATAGTAGCTCCAGCCGTGTTTGTGATTAAATACTAATTAAAAAACCCCAACAGATAACAAATATCAGCAATGGGACTCAAGTGAAATGAAGATCTCGGACATCGTTGTGAGACTTCTTTTATTAATCTCGTTAACAGTCCCAATAAAAAAAACTGTCATACAATCACTTGCAATGACGAGAACACAGAGCACCATTTAAACATGTAAAAAACATTGTGTGTCACTCAATAAAAGGAGACAGTATCTGGTTCAGTACAGAGATGATGATCAATAGTACAGACTTCAGTTTCTCCTCCACGTTGTCATTGATACCTTCATACCTCTGAATTCAGTCCACTGCTGTTAATGTGCAAAATGACTCTACAGCAGTTCAGTTAAACCCCGTCACCCACAAACAGTTCTCAAAATGTTTGTGATACAATCAGCAGTCAGAATAATCACAGTACTCTTATTAGTATTTACAATTATCAGTTCATTTGGCCACGTGCCAAGTTCACTGTTTCTTAAACACAATACAGATTATTATTGAGCAGCAGGTAACTGTTTGTTACCATTAGCACCACAGCAGCATAGTGTCCATCACCATTTTGTTGGCGTCAACACCAATGCAGCAATAACAACCAATGCAATTCATTGAATCTTCCTAAACACACATAATATAAGACACACTCAGTTATTTTATGCTTCCCCAAGTTTAACACAGCAAAATATACAAAGATCGAACCAAAGGATGAAGTTAAAAACTGATCAAACTGTGGCAAAATTCTTATTTCTCTTAAATACTTTTATCAACACTAACAATTCAGTTTTGATACAGGAAACCGAGGAGAAGAGCAATGTTGGTACAGAATATAATATTTTTTTAACATTTACAGTAGATGTTAATTTAATGAAGTCTTTGTTTCTCCTGGAAACAGGATTCAAATATAGTAAAGCAGCGAGACAGCTCTCAGTTCAATATGATCTACATTTTGCAACCATATTTTTTTTTAAAAATAGATAAAAATGGAGCAGTGGTGTATAAAAATCTCTTTTAAAAAAACACCCATCATGTAAACATCATTTATATCTATGTATTTTAAAAACTCTAGGATATATGCCATATGTAGACGCATGTATAACCTCAGAATGAACTATCAATATTCATGTTAAATACTGATGATACAACAGTTTAGATGGCTATTGACCATCAACAATCGACTAATCATTGAATGAGTGGGCTGACTACAAGAGAAGGCTCACAGACTTCTAGTGAAAAGGTAATAATATATTACTCTTCAGGACACTTTACCTCTGGTTTGTTTTTAGCCTTCCCAGTTCAAGTGTGGCTAGTAGCACCACCAGACTCAGATTTAGCTGTTCAACACGAACATTTGACTATTTGTTCCCTTTTCTTTTTTTAAGTTCAGTGCCACACTGACATCCTACAACAGCCTGCATGACTCTCATATTTTCCTTCTAAAGCCAAGATTATATTCTCAAACCGAGACATACACAGACAGCTGCGTAGTAGTTCTGTCTATCCTACTATTAGTCTGCATTCTACATGTGCAGTAGATCAGCTGCTGGAAGCCTCGTAGCGTAAGTGGCCACGTGGACAGTCCTCACAGTCAGAACAAAAAGTCCACACAGAGACCTTCGTGTACTCAGTCTAACTCCAGACGCACGTTTTAAAGCCTTTCTTTGTTAACTGTGATGTGAAAATATGAGATTTCCTCACAGTGAAAGAAACTGTACATCCACCACGGAGCATCTCCCCTGCAGAGCAGCTGACAGCGCTACCGAACGGAGAGTAAATTGATTAAATTGGAAGAACCAGTCGTCCATCATCATTGCTGGTGTTCTTTGTTCTTCTTTTAATGAAGAAATATTCTCCAGTTCTCATATAACTGATATCTACACTAACCTCTATGTACCCACCACACTACTGCCAGTACTTCCTCAGAGGACGCTGACTGGTACGGCACCACGTAGGTTAGCCACAAACACATAGACTGAAGCCTGGAAAGGTGGATTCTCAGTGTCCAACTGGCTCGCAGGGTTAAGTTGTATCACAGTCTGGTTCAAAAGTAGTTTAGCCGACTACACTGACAGTTATCACCGGAGCAGACAGTGAAGTGACGGAGCAGCCAAACAGATTGTTTTGTTGTAATTTTGAGACTCTGTTTGTAAAGTGCAGAGATTCGACTGACCATCAGGTTCACCTGGGATCTCCTCGACTGATGACTCAAATCATCAACTTTTAAAAAGGAAGCCCTGAGTAGCAACACTGACAGTCACTGAGCATTTGAGGGAGGAAAGGAAGGACCGAGAGTGTCTGTAAACTCCAGTAGGTGGTTCAGAGGATCAGGAGGAAAAACCAAGAACTGGAGGTAGACAGAGAGCAGCTAAAGCAGAGTCTGTTGTATACACAAACTGCATGTGTGACACAATGCAAGAGACTTGAGTGCATAGCGGGTAAAATGTCCCTGTGGCAGAGATCTACAAAAGCCTGTCTGTGAGCTAGCTTTGTGAAAGTAGTACATATATGCATAGACCAGTCATGCTCCATCTTGTTCTTATAAAAACACGTGGTGGGGGGAAAAAACCCTTCAGAACACACAAACACACACACACATCACTATGCAAAAGATAACAGCCCTCCGTTATCTCGGTTGATGCAGTTCTGGAGTGGCAGAGGAGGACAGGGAGGTGGAGGTGGAGGTCATACAGGCAGCTGCTCACAGGCAAAATAGTCCTTCAGAGGAGCGAAGAGGTGACGGATGACCGGCACACTCCATGCCTTCCCCAGCACCTTCTGCCTCTGCTGCCGGTTCATGTTCCTCACGTCGGTGTAATGTTTGGGGAAACCAAAGATCCTGGTGGACCACAAGGAAGAAGGCACACAAGTGTTAGCGTAAGTCTCAGTTTAGAGCTGCAACATTGATCGATGAGTCTCTCTGGTTACAGCTTCTTGCTGCTTTTTGATCTGAATATGATCAGATTTTGGACAGTTGGTTGAACAAAACAAGACACTTGAAGTTACTTAAGCTCTGTAGTGGACATTTTTCACTGTTTTCTGATGTTATAACCAATATTAGCAATGTCTCAGTCTCTCTATAGGACAGGGTTCATCTACCTTTATTACCCAGTTATTTTTGGCCCAAAACAATATATATCTGGAACAACAAACCATATAATGTTTCTCATACCAACACCAATAAATGAAAATGTTAAAAAATAACCGTTGTTCATTTCCATATTATATTTAGTTAAAGCCACAGGGCAACTGTCCAACGTGAGAATCTCTCTCTTCTCTGGCTGACAACTAGTGGTGTAAGACGATACTGATCTACTATACAAGTATTGCAATATTATGTTTTGTGATTTAATTTATATCACCTTTCTTACAGTATCACAATATACCGCTATATATTTAACTGTAAGACCTGTATTGTGATACGTATCATATTGCCAGATTTGTATCCATACACAGCCAAAAAAAAAAGTTTTTTTTGGTGTATTTTTTTTACCAGAGTTTAGAGAGTCAACACACAAAACCAGTTAAGCAGTGAGCCAGTAAATACTGCATACATTTAACACAGACACACTCTTCAAGTATTACAATTCCTACCTTTCTAGTTCAGTGATCCAGAGGTTGTCCTCTTTGCCGTTCTCGAGGACAGGCAGCTGAGAGACACCTTTGCCCTGCTTCAGAGAGTTTGGATTGGTGGTGATCGTCCTCACCTTGGTGACCTGGAACCAAAACAACAATACAGTAGGGATTTTAGTTACCTAAATTAATCAGAATTGTTAAAAAATAAAATACATGAACTGCAGACACAAAATCATTGAATTAAACTGACCCTGGCCTCTCTACCGATCTCTAAACAGTCCTGGAGGGTCAGCTTGTCCTTCTGGGAGGCGATAATGGGCCTGAAGGGAGATAAACAGCCAACAAACTTCAGTTATAAATTTTTAAAAACCAGTAACAAAGCGCTTCAGAAGATGAAGAAAGAAAAAAAAGAGGGTTTTAGGAGACAGAGAAAACAATATATAAAAGCAAAAACAAAGTGTAATGATACCTCTACTGCTACAGGACACTAATATTATTAACAATAGAATCATATTAATAATATTATTATTTCAGTCAAGAACATAGTTTGAATCCATTAGTTTTGAGTATTTGAACCCTTATAATTGAGGATTAATTGATGTTACCTGCTCATCCCTGGGATGTTTCCCCAGAAGTAACGCGCTCTGTGGGCAGGGCTGACTTTGACTGCATTCACCAGCACTGGGTTACACTGTCGAAGAATCACATCACAGCAACAGTCATTCTCTTGAGTCTGGAAAATGTTACTTAAGAGAGAAAAACAGCAGTGTAATGAGGAAGGAAGGAAGAGGAGGAGTTGGAATGAAAATAATGGAAGATGAGATGAACCTCTATTGATGCCCAGAGGGAGAACAAGGACGAAAGAAAGTCCAGATAAATAGAGAAAAGTTAAAAAAAGAAAGACTTATTTGTATATAAAAAATTATAGAAAAGTATACAAGGCAAGCAGTACACATACAAACTAACTAAAAGTGTATTCAAGTGAAGTGTTAAAGTGGTGTGATGAGTAGCAGCAAAGTTACATATAAGAGTAATATACCATCTACTATACCCGCATCTGTATTAATATATAAATATAATAGAAAAATAACATAATATAGTAGTTTATTATAATACGGGATATAAAATAAGTCTAAGGTGAAATATAGTAATATAGTATAACATAATATTTATTTTATGTGTAGTAAGACGAGATGAATCCAGCAGAAACCAAACAGCAGTGGATGTGACGAACCTCGAGGAAGCGGCAGATGTTGACTTTGTCGTGCGTGTTCATGAAGACCACGTTCTCAAACAGCCAGAAGAACGGCCTGGGGTCTTCCTCTTTGGGCTTCAGCAGCTGAAGGATGCGGAAATACTCGAAGAACAGCCTGCCAGTGCCCTCTGTCGGAGAGAGGAGGGAATTACAGCAAAGAACAAAAGGCCTCTGCACTGTCATATCTGATGTCATCATCCTTATTATTAAATCAGGTTTGCAACTACAGATTATTTTATTATATATATTTCCTTTTGGTTCTTTTATTTGATCAACTGATTAATCATTAAGTCTACGAAAAGTTTTCAATCTACAAATATGTGAAAGTAGTTAAGTTAAAGCTGTTACATACCGTAGAGGCCTTTTCTTAATGGGTTGACGATGGAGAGGTCATTACAGGGGCTGCCACCGATCAGCAAATCAAACGGACCCCACTGCTCGAGCTGGATGGTCAAAGAGGGACAATGAGCTGGTTTAATTCAGCGTTGCACTGTAAGGCATCTTCCAATGACTCAGAACAGATAAATAAAGTAAATAAAAGGACTGAAACAGGAGAGGTCACTGTCAGCCTAAAGCACAATTTCAACCAGAGAGATGTGTTATAAAGGAAGATGAACACAAACATTATGTACATTAAACAGGCAGTGTGAGAGAACGTACGAGCTCCTCGGTGATTAACCGGACGTCACCAACGTGAACAATCTTCCCATCGTGGTTGACGGTTCCCACGGCAATTGAATCCTCGCAAACCTCCGAGGCAACATATTTGTCTACTTTGAAGCCGAGATCCTTCAGCACCAGGTAACCTGAAAGAAAATACCAACAGACACAAACACACACAGAGGCTGTCAACGTCTTGACATCAAATATACTGTAGAATCAGAATTAGAGATGTTTAGAGGAGCAGAAAAGTACTAATGCTAAGAGCACCAAAAAACACGTAATGTAATTTATTGTTTTTGGGAAACTTGCCTGTTGCTATGCCATCGAACAGCGAGAGAACTCGGATTGGTCTGCGCAGGTTGGCACGGATGGACGGGTAAACACGGTGCGGCTCCTACAAAGTAAAAAAGGTCAAAACTATGTAATAACACTGTGTGACTCCTCATTAATGGAAACAAATAAAGAAATAAAGAACTTAAAAGGTTAAAAGTAAGAGCAATTTGTGTATTTAATCATTTATTTCAACTCATTTTGTCCCTTTATTTGTAACATTTTCTCTAAATTACTATAAAGTGCATTTAGTTTATATAACATTATATTTTGTTGTATTAAATAATGTTTTTATGTAGCAGATAAGCCTAATGTATATTCAAATTATTTAAAGTACCATCTATCTAATCTATGCCTCTTTTCTCATACACTTCATTCTGTCTGCATGGAATCTAGTTTCTTATATATAGAAAAACATTTAAAAAGTCAGAATATTCTTAAACTCAAGGTATATTTATGGCTTTTATTAATTTTGGCATTAAAAAAAAATCACTATGAAAAATGGAAAAATAAATAAAATCAGTGCTGTAAAAACATTATTTCGGATTTCTGTAGTAAAACAAAATGAGAGTACAGGTACCAATACCAGAATTCTGGGTTAAAGTGTTTAATAAAGATGAAAGCAATTAATCAATCAGCAGAAAATAATTAAATTAATTATAAGTGTCTGCCATAAAGAAAATTAAAAAATATGTAATCCAACACTGCTAACACTGTTATTATTAATAAGAATGTAACTCACGCACATTTGATCCTGATGTTGCGTTAGTAAAGGAATATTTACTCATTTAACGTGTGTAATACTTCAATTGCTTCAGAGAGCCACAAAATGATTCGTATGGGTCGATCACTCACAAACTCCATGGCGCTGTTGTTGGCAAATAATTCCTGCACACGAATGCTCCAGTCCACTCTGGGAATCAGAGCACCGTGGGGTCGATGGGGCTGACACAAGTAGCAGATCCACGGGTCCAACTCCTTCAAGGAATCAAACGTCCCCTGGCCGATGAGGATGTTCAGACAGTCCCCACAATAAGATCTGCAAATGAGGAGGAAGAGGAAAGACAATCCATCAAATGGGGAAAAAAAAATCAGCCTCTATTTGTTTCCTTTCCTTAGATAGAGGAAGAGACTGACCTGCAGCAGCTGTCGTTGCCACACAGTATGACCTCCATCCCATAGCAGCAGATGGTACAGTAGGACTGATATCCATCTTCATCATAGCGAAACAGGGTTTCTGTAAAGTTATCCTACAGGAGACACAGACAGCACCGCCAGTAAAGTTAGCACAGGAGGAGGAAGTACAGTGTTTAATACTTCAGTTCAAGGTTTCACACATTTAAACACACATTCACGGTGTGCTGAGAAACCCTTACTGTTGGTTCACTGCTGGTTGTAAGATAAAGAGAAGTTGATGATTCCATACTTTACACTTCAAGCAGAGGCTTCCTTTGAACAGAGGGTGGAATATCTCAACGCTTTCAGTCCCACAACACAAACAGATGCCTGCAGACACAGACGAGGAACAAATGTGTGAGTAAGTGCTTTACATAAAACAGTACGATTATTATGTTATCAGTACTGGATGAGAGATTCACTGGAGGGAAGACTTACAGTACTGTGAGGTGTGATGTGAGTTGTTATGAATAAAAAGGGAACAGATTTTAGATTTGATTCAGATTTTAAAAAAAATACAACACTCACCGTCAATGTTGAGTTTCTTGGCCATGATCATCTGGATGGTCTTCTCTGCAAGAAAAGAAACAAAATACGTTTTCATAATTTGCATAGATAGATAGACACTCTCTCTCTCTCTCTCTCTCTCTCTCACCCCAACTGGTCGAGGCAGACAAGGATCTGTCCCAGGTTTCTGCCTTTTAACAGACAGTTTTTCCTTGCCCTTGTTGCCAAGTGCTTGCTTAAGGTGGTACTGTTGGGTCTCTTTAAATAATGCTTTAAAGAGTTCAGTCTAGACCTGCTCTATTTGAAAAGTGTCCTGAGATAACTTCTGTTATGAATTGGCGCTATACAAATAAAATTGAATTGAATTGAATATATATATGTATTATAAAACGGTTAAAATGTATTAAAACTATGGGAATAATAAACGATATGATTCAGATATTAAGAACCTATTGTGATACTTGACCTTATAAGTCATTATAAAATACTAACTAGTAGTGTAACTAACTATTCAATCTATTCAGTAATATTACAGTTAACCCCCCCAAAAAAAGAATTAGTTACAACTTTTATTTGTTTTGTTGCCGATTTGAAATCCAACAATCTAAATCACATTGTCCAATCACAACTGAAGATGGAAACACATTCAGCAGCTGGAAATACTCCATTACTTTGATTTTTACAAGCAAAACTGGCTTTTAATGGTCGTAAAGCTGAATTTTGGGGAGATAGGGGCAGGGAGTTAGAAAAGTAATAACATTACTTTTGAAAAGAATAACTATTCCAACACTGTTGAATGAATTATACCCATTATAAACATTTTTTAATGGTTTACTTTGCATAAATTCCAAGCTGGAAATTAAATCAGCTGCTTTACGCAGATGACTCACTTCAGTATCAAAGGTTGGATCTCATAACGGGCTCCGCAGGGAAAACTGCACCAGCTGGTCTTAAACTGAAACTTAATTAGAACCTATTTCTAACGCATGTGTTCACAAAGTGAATATTATCACTTAATTGATACATGTCTCATCACACAAACTAGTTCCTGCGTAGAGTCGACAGTAAATATTCGTACCCGGTAACTAACTGAGAAAGTTACTGTAAGAGTAAAGGTAATGGGATACAGTCGACATACCTGACCTGAAAATGCTGTTAATAATGTAACTGTAGAATATATTAAATCACAGCTCATCTGTGTACGTGTCCGTTTCAGACTGAATTTGAGCTTTTAGTATTGGACTTTGATTTGTTTCACTCAGTTTGGAATTAAAATATTAAAATTTGTTCAAATTCAAACATTTTAATGATGAACTTCTGTTTGGTACCTCTGAGTTTTTGGTCCGGCTGGGTGTACATGGCGGTCGGCTCGTTGATCTTATTGTAGGTTTTGGTGTAGGTCCTCTTCTTGTTCGGAACAAAGTCTGGAGACGTGTCGTTATCAAATCCATCAATTAGACCGCTTTTCTTCTTCTGAACCTTCCCGGCTTTCCACCCGGCCTTACCCTTCCCTTTCCCCTTCTCCCATCTTGCTTCCCAGTAATCTTTCTCTCCCTCCCATCCTCTCTTCCCCTGTTTCCCCGTCTCTGCTGCCAATTCTCCTGTGGATTCCTTCTCCTTCTCCTTCTCCTTCGTGACTACTTCAGCGTCTTTTCCCGCAAAATCGACTGCTTCTTCCAACGCAGTCTTTCCACCGCTGTCTTTGTGGGGGGACTTCTCCGTAGAGTTGCACGACAAAATGTTCATGGAGACAGCCACGTCTCTCAGCTCAGAGTTGGCCATATCGCTCTTGCTGCTCGTCGGGTCGGAGGAGTTTACGGAGCGACGAGGAGATTTGGCTTTCGAGAAGAGGGTCTTCCTCGCCGTTGGTCTCTGCTTTGTTTTACTAACACCTGGACAGGAGACAATCATCCATGTGACCATCAGACATCTTACACAACAGTAAAGTTAAAATGTACAATCTGTAGACAATAAACACTTGTTGAGCTGAAACCAGAACCAAAATTCTTTGTATTTGCAATAATACTAAATTACTTAAGTTAATCATTGTTTACTTTGTCAAGATCACAACAGGGTTACCTTCTAATAGGATGTTATAGAATGATTGCAGAGCTCTATTATGCATTTAGGGTGGCTGTGGTGCAGAGGCAGAGGGGGTCGTCCCCTAATTGGAAGGTTGTTGGTTCGTTCCCCGGCTCCTGGTGCCACATGTCGAAGTATCCTTGAGCAAGATACTGAACCCTGAATTGCTCCTGATGCCGTGCATCGGTGTTTGAATATGTTTGAATGCGTTTGAATGTGTTTGAATGTGTATGATGGGCTTTACCATCACTGAGTGAATGTGTGTGAAAGGGCGAGTGTGCCATGTAGTGTAAAAGCACTTTGAGTGGTCGGAAGACTAGAAAGGCGCTTTTACCATTTACCATTTAATTTAGCATGGAATCAGATGTTCATACCGTTGACGGCAGCCGTTGTTGTGAGTCTATCTGGTCCCATAGGTTGAAATCCTTCCAAGGCCCAGTCTAACACCTGTTTCAGCAGCCCATCTTTGTCGTTCAGATTTGCAGAAAACTGCTTCCCACAGCGTAAAGCTGCTTCCTGATAGACACAGACACACGCGTAAGCAGGAGGAAGAGAAATATGCATCACCTATCAACACTTTCAAAGTTCAGGTTAGATTTGTTGATGAGTCGGATCTGGTGAATTTTGATCCGACATACCAGAACAATTAAGTCCTGTGTATGTACCAGACAGACAGACAGACAGAGAGAGAGAGAGCGAGAGAGAGACAACAACAGACCTGCAGGGACAAGAAGATGGCTTGTCTGTAGGTGACAAGGATGGCGAAGGATTTGGGACAGAAATGCTCAGCGAAGGCAGCGAAAGGTTCCAAAGTCTCCACTGCGACCTGGAATCAGAGCCAAGGAATCAGTGCAGGGAATGGTAATAAATATAAGAGTTTAGTATATACAGCATATAAATGAGTGTACTGTCACTAGGTATATCAAGCATTCATGTACATGCATATTTACTGTAATGTATAAACTTTGTCTGACTCACCTGAGAGGACATTCTCTGTCCGTACCACTCCACCATCTTCATCCCTGGTTTCTTCACCCTGCAGGGTATGATGATGCCTGGCCAGAAAGAGAAGCCGTCCAGCTTCCCCCAAACCATCTCCTCCTTCGTACCCTGTCCAACGCACACACACAAACACACAATGTTAAGAGAATATATAATACTGACTGTTTCTAACATTGAATATACAGTAAAATACATCTTTCTGAAAACTTGTCTCCCATAACTGAGGCAGTTCCTTTCTGTTTTAACCTGGAATCAAGGCACATACGAGTCTATTATGGAGAGAATTCTGTTCCTTTATTATTCAATCAAATAAAATAGATTTGAAACCAAAAGAGATTTGAGAGCAAAATAGAGTAAGTGGCAATCAAAAAAACAATTTTTGAGATCGAAACAGAACAAGTTGCAATTGAAAAAAAAATATGAGAGAACATATTTCTTCAACTTCAATCAAAACTAATGTTTGTAAGTAAAAACATGCGACCATTTTGCGTCGTCTTTGCTTGCAAGTTCTAAAGTTTTGTTTGCAAATCAGTCCTCTTTGCTTGCAAATTCAAAAGTTTTGCTTGCAAATTCAGCTGCACTTGATGGGCGGGGCCTACGCTGGTGGACGAGAGAAGAGTTTCTATTGGTTGGTTTGACTGGCTACGTCTTCCGCATTACACCCACTTCTCCCTGTGCTGTGCTGCTTGGAGGTAAGCCTGTTGCTCTTCAAACGTTTCCCATAAGTAATGATGGTCCGACTTAAATGACACCGAATGATGCTTCTGACCTCAGATGTACAATGTGTAGGTTTCTAGAAGAGAAACGCAAATTTCAGCACCACTGATCTGTATAATCAGATCAAAAGACATGTCCTGTGATTTTAATTATTCGCCACGTGTGTTTGTTGACATTAGGAGTAGCGGCAGCCCGCTACACAGTGGAAACTGGCACCGCGTTCAGCGGTAGTTTAGTAATCCACGGTAGTACTGTTGTGTAGGAACCGTGACGTTTTGGCACCGCGAGTACCATGCAACACTAAATGTTTCAATCACAGCCCTACGTTGTATACCCCTCCCTGGAATTCACTCACTCAGTAGGCTACTCTGCTCAGGCCGAGACTAGCAGAGACAACCATGTTGCTGCTAATCAGTGTGCTAGCAGCAGCAGGGCATTATAATTCATTACTTGTGTTGTTGTTGTGAATGTACGGCAGGCTGTAGCCAACGATATATAGCGCAATTCATTACTTATGGGAAACGTTTGAAGAGCAACAGTCTACCTCCAAGCAGCACAGCACAGGGAGAAGTGGGTGTAATGCGGAAGACGTAGCCAGTCAAACCAACCAATAGAAACTCTTCTCTCGTCCACCAGCGTAGGCCCCGCCCATCAAGTGCAGTTGAATTTGCAAGCAAAGAGGACGCAAAATGGTCGCATGTTTTTACTTACAAACATTAGTTTTGATTGAAGTTGAAGAAATATGTTCTCTCATATTTTTTTTCAATTGCAACTTGTTCTGTTTCGAACTCTAAATTTTTTTTTTTTTGATTGCCACTTACTCTTTTGCTCTCAAATCTCTTTTGGTTTCAAATCTATTTTATTTGATTGAATAATAAAGGAACAGAATTCTCTCCATAGTCAATGAGTGTAATTTGAACAACCCAGAGAGTTTGCAGAGACAAATTTTGCATTAATATATATATATATATATATATATATATATATATATATATATATATATAGGAACTGATCATTATTTCCATTATTATAAAATAAAGCCAATCATTTTCTAGATTAATTCATTCATCCTTTCGCCTTTAATCATATGCTTCCTCCGTCCAGATGCTTACTCTGCACTAGACTTTGATTGACAACTTGTTAGTTCTACAAGACTTATTTTTAACCCAACCAAACAGGTTAGGTGTGAAAAAAGATACAGGTTTAAAAATCTTATATTTGTGTATTTTTTTATATTATTAACTGAGAATAAAACACTGTTCTTAAAATATAATAAATATACTGTATTGATATAGAACGTTAAACCATTAGTAACACATTTTCCTGGTTCTATCACTAAGTTAATATAAATAACATTACAGTCCATCTTACCAGCTGTGGTGCTGAGTCGGTTGGTGTACACGTTAAAACCATCCCACCATCATCATCACCACCACCACCACCATCATCGTCGTCGTCGTCATCGTCGTCATCATCATCATCATCACCATCATCGCTTATAATGTATATGGACTGTGGCGGTGAGATCCTTGGCTCTGCAGAACAGTGACAATGAGTTACTGAATATACCACATTATACATTATGATTATTTCTTCATGCACATATAAAGGCCCTGCTCCTGATCACTGGGACTAGGGTAGTATTCACAACACTGTGAGCATACAATAAACAATTTATCTTATTATTAACACCCTTAGACTATTAACAATATGACACATTTCTTACTTTCTGCGTTCACCAGTCTACTGGTCCGACACGTTTTGGCCTCTTCGGTGACGTCAACCACATCTAATAAAACAGAACACACATTAGTTATTATCATCACCTACATTTGGAACCGCTGTCCACAACAGATTGACTTCATTAGCCAAATTTATGTTAATGAAGCCGGTAACGTACACCTGACAGTCTTACCTGAGGAATTGTCTGTGTAGTCTGAATCCCTCGCACAGCGGTTGTGTCTGGTAGGAACACGTCGTCTCTGTCTGACTGCAGAATTGTCGCTGTCATCCGTTGTCTCTGAAGTCTCTTCATCCTCCTCTTCCTGCTTCACGCCACCATTACCTGCCCGGACAGGTCGTTTCCTTCTGAACCTCTCTGCTTTAAGTGAGGTGTTGACGGTATTCTGGCTGTCAAAAAGAGCCTTGGTGCTGCTGCACATCTTGAGACAGGAGCAAAACATACACGTTAATCTCTTTATCACGTCACAGAAACACATAACTAGGAAATTAAACAACTTGTGATATGAAAAGGATAAAGATGTTAGTTACCTTTAAACAAAACAACCTTTTAACAAAGTCCAGTGTCTAATATTTAGGAGGATCTACTGAAATACTGAAAATTAAATGAAATATTGGCAGAATATTCATACGTGTTTTCATTAGTGTATAATAACCTGAAAAATAACAATAATATCTATCTATCTCGTTGCTCACTGCTGTGTATTGATAATATTTTATGGAAGTGCATATTGGAGGACAAGTCCTGGAGGTAAAATTTGGTTGGTAAATAAAACTAGTCGGCCTCCTGAAAGACGTTTAACATTCAACACTCACCTTATCAAACACCTGCGTACTGCCTAGAGAGTCCGGCAGCGCCAGGAGGATCAGAAGGAACGTACGCAGGATAGAGTGCTGTCTAATGCCACGCAACATCTGTACAAACACAGGGAACTCTTGTAAGGACATCTGATATTCAACATCAATGTTTACTGAAGCTTACCGAGCTACTGGACTATAGAGGTGTTGAAATTAATCAAATAATCGATGCATCACGATGCAGACATGGACGATGCAGTGGCCGGCCATAATCGATTATAACGCAATGATGTCGCTCGTTAATTTTCTGGCCGCCGCATAAACATTCAAATGAAAAATAACATTCTCAGTAGCCTGACCCGTTTCATCTAGACCAGTACTTCTCAAATTGTGGGGCGTGACAGGCAGGGGGGACTGACGGGGGAGGAGAGATGGAGAAGTTTTTGACAGGAGTAAAAAGAAAAACGCCACTGGACTTTTTTCATCGGATACTCGATGAGTATCGCCAACAGGCCGGTCATTTAGTGAGCGCGGCATCAGTAAATAAAAACGCACCGTTAGCCTCGTACAAACATCGCTACATCGCCATGTGCAAAAAACCATCACACAATAGCAGAGGAGCTAATACTCCAGCAGCATTGGACATGGTCACAATCATAGGTGAGAAAAGTGCTGAGACACTGAATACTGTCCCTCTTTCCAATGACACGGTCGGGAGACGTGTGTGTGTGTGTGTGTGCGCGCTGTCTGCTGTGGTCTGACTGTTAAATAAAAAAGATTTATATCTTACTATTTGTATTTTTGGATGAAAACAACCATATGAAGTAATATAGAAAACTGTATTATATTGAACTATACAGTATCTTAATGCATTCCGTCAAGTCAAATATCCTATGTGGCTTTAATAGAAAAATGTATTTGAAGCATCGTGATGCATCGAGGAATCGAATCGCTGACATGATAATCGTAATCAAATCGAATCGGGAGATCAGTGACAATTCACACCTCTACTGGACTACCACTTTATCTACATGAAGTCACCCACCCACCCACCCCCTGTTATTGATCCATCATGTTGACGGTTTACCTTCCCCCAGCAGTGACCTCCTCTTCCTTTTTTCTGTTCCTCCTTTAATGTTTTAATGGCGCTGAGGTATTCGTATGCCAGTTGAAGTGCTTCTGTCGTCCCGGTGTTACAGAGACCCAGCTGAACCCCGATCTCTGACAGCACGCATCTGGACAATCCATTATCCTAAAAGAGAAAACACAGATATCTCAAATACCAGTATACAGACGGGTAGGAAAATCTGATTAAGTCAAGGATAACATTAGAAAATCAAAGAAAACTGTTACATACAAACACTTGGGGTTAGTTCCCCTAAAGTGTTACTATTTTGTGAAACAGCCCTTTAAAGTTACACAAGCAAACTGGCAGCAAGAGTCAATAATAAACAACTTGAGCTTTAAAAAGATTATGTGGTGGCATCATCAAACTAAACACAGCACACTCACAATTAATGTGCTTATTCGCTTTCTGTAGGAGAGTTAGATGAGACTAATATGAACACTTAGCTCAGCACAAAGACTGGACATAGAGGGAGAATAGCCTGGTTCTATCAACAATAACCAAATACTCAAACCAGAACCTCTTGAACTCACAAATTAACTTGTTATATCTTCTTCATTTAATCCGTACAAAACTATTTCTTGGCTGGGAGTCCAGGAAGTGACTGCCTTGTACTAAGATAAGATACGGATACTGACGGTTATCAGAGGGACCAGAGAGGACAGAAATGTAATGCTGGTAGCGATTTTGAGTCTCAATATCTCCCACAACTATTTAGTTTATTTGTTTTCAAATTAAAATCAACCTATTGAAGCCAGCAACATATTAATATTTATTGAACAAATATGAAGCTAACAGAAATAAATCTTCTTACATTGATATTTTCAGGATGTTTCAGGACTTTGCGGATATTCCTTAGTGCCACGTCTCCAAGATACTTAGGCATATTCCTCACTAAACTCTGTAATGCTCCTTTATAGAAGGCCGTGGCACCCTTCAGGAAGTCACTCCTCTCCTGCTCCCCCAGATCCACAACAGCGGTGGCCCACAGAAAGTCTCTAGCACGAGAACCGATGTTCACTTCGGTTGGGGGGAGCTCGTTGTTGAAGGCGTGCAAGCTCCGCCTCCTGAGAAAGTGCTCGTGGACGGAGGGCCGGAGGAGGTTGGTTGCGTAGGTGTGGACCAGCATGGCGGACAGTTGCAGCTCTGCGGCGACGTCTACTGTTCCATACTGCTGCCATTCTTGTAGAGCTCGGAGGGGCTCCAAAGCATGGGAGAGGAACAGGAACTGCAGCTTGATTTTATTATCAATCAGTTGGGATCTGATCCAGTCAGAGGAAGCAGTCGGCCTCAGTGACTTGAAATAATCCACTAAATCCCTCCAGTTGCTGGCCATCTTCTGCACAATGTTGATGATGAATAAACTATGTCCAGAGACAGGTTTTGACGGGTCATAAGACTGTGAATTGGTAAATAGCTCCTTCAGACTGTCATTAACGGAGGTGCAGGTGGAGTAGTGACAGTGGATGACTCTGATCAGGTCAAGCAGGCCACTAAAGGAAGCCATGATTCCAGCCTGGCATGCTCTTGCTGCTAACCCAGGGAGGCCAGAGAGTGTTATTAACCTGGGGCAGCTGGTCTGAAGCTGGGATACAAACTTCTGTCTCGCCCATAAGCTTGAAGCGTTACAGTAAAACACAGAAAGGTTGGACAGAGGCAGCTCAAACTTCTTCAGCGTCTCCATCAGGAGTTTTGCATCGCCATCTACAGAGCGCGTGCCTGGGGGAGCACCGGTGTCCACCGCCAAGGTTTGCGGATCAACAGTGTCGACACTCATGTTCAGAGTGTGCAGCAGCCTCACCACACTGACCCCCGAGCTCCAGTCAAAGTAGCCAATCAGAAGGACGCTAGTGGTCTGTCCTCGGCCCAGCTCCACCCCCATGTACAGGTAGAGGCAGTACGGCGTGTGCCAGCAGACCTGAATGATGTCTTTAGGGTGGGTTGGACTCAAGATGGTAGAGACTAAAGGGTCAGAACTCAGAGCGTCCACATTGCCACTACAGTATTTGTTGATGAACAAAAACAGAGGATCACTGCTACTCTCTTGCTCTTCCATCTTCACCGCTGCTTCTGCCGGCTCCACCATGTTTATCTGTTCCTGCACGGGCTCTTCCATCTTCACCGCTGCTTCTGCCGGCTCCACCATGTTTATCTGTTCCTGCACGGGCTCTTCCATCTTCACCGCTGCTTCTGCCGGCTCCACTGTGTTTATCTGTTCCTGCACGGGCTCTTCCATCACCGCCATTTCCATTTCCTCTGCTTTCGGCTCCATGTTCACATCCACCTGGGCATCCTCATCCTCAGATATTAATACTATCGCATTGGCCTTGGCAAGGGAAGTCTGGGGTCCGCTGCTGGACTTGCTAACCCCGCAACCCGACCCCGGATAAGCAGATGAAGATGGGATGAGATGAGACGAGACTTTGGCCCTCCTGTTCAAAATCTCCCTCACCGTTAGTTTTTTATGTTTATTCGGTTCTACCGCTTTTTTTCCTGCCATCTTCACAATTATCTCTAGTTCCTGATGGGAGGCCTCTGTAATGGGAGTAAAAAAAAAAGACACATTTAAATGGATTTTTATCAGACATCACTGCAAGACTATTGCAGAAAGAGCCACAATGCCAGCACCATTTTGATGAAATATTGACCTGGGGCATGTTTAGGTGTCACATTATCACAGGGAAAAAATAATGTGCTTTGTGTAACTAATGTAATTCCCATCGTGTAAGAACAAAGCCACATATTTCATCAAGAATCATGCTTCAAACAATTTGTGTGACACATAGACAACATTTACTATGTAGGATTTCTGTGCAACAACTGCTCCCACCTGATACAGGAACCATATTCTGTCCACCTCTGGCCTCCAAGGCACGGTACTCCCTGCCGTTGTTGTTCTTTTCAAAGAAAAGCTTGAACCAGTGCAGGAAGGTCACAGCCACTGTAGAGTTGTTCTTTATCAGCGTGTCGACGGGGATGTACTGTAAAAAAAAAAAAAAAAAAAAGATGTTTTTATTTACTGTGTTTATGATGGTTTGAAAAGACTAACATGCTTTTTAAATATCCAAATAAATCACCAAACATTTGCAGAGAAAAAAATTTAAAGGAGTTTAAGTTATCAAAAATAAAGATATAAAATAAAAAATAAACATAGAGCAGAAGAAAATACTTCTGATATAGTCAGCATTACCAAAATATCTGGGATGAGCTTCATTAGTCGGGTTCTTAACTGTACTGAGCAAATTTTAAATGTGACGTTTGTTCACTGCTTTTGTTACAATACTCACTCGGAGCACTCCAACTTTTTTGAACGCAGCTTGCAGTAAACTGTAGTTATGGATAGCGTCCTCCGTGCTGCTGCTGCTTTGGAACCGGACCTTGGAAAGGTCCAGGGTCCCGGGAAAACACCAGTCTATCAGCTGGCAATAGGCGGCACCTGGATATTTATACGCACAAAAGTAAACGATAAAAGGAAGCTGGTTACCAAACAATAAGGGCCAGATTAACTAAGACAAAGGTAATTTACTTGACTCTCAGAAAATGTAGTGATAGTAATTCCAAAACATTAACTGCAGCCTTCAGTCGTGTACTCATATCTAAAACCATAATAGTACAGTGTTTAGGTCAATTAAAAACTTTGTAAAGCATAAACTCATGACTGTTTGTTGAGGTTTCATTGTGACCTACCTGAGCACACCTGCTCCAACTTGGTGAAGCGTGCCTGTAAAGTGTCATTGAGCCATGCCAGCAGCTCATAGCGGTTTGGTGGCCCCGTACACAGAACTACATTCACTGCCACATTCATCATTTCCTCTCTCCTAAAGGGATGGACCTGCACAAACACCAAGGTAAACATTACAGGAGAGTGATCCACTTCTAAACTCAAAAATCAACAAATTTGACATAGAAGTGGTATTGCTGAACATGTCAACAATAATAATAATTGTGTTAAAATGTAAGGAAGCATTTGGTGCACATTGTGCATTTGAAACAATTTGAGTTCCAGGCTTTTGTCATGGACTACTAACAGCACAGAAACCAGAACTAGCTGTCTCTCAAAACAAACAACTCTACTTACATTTCAAAACATTGTCTCAAACTTTAACCTACTACAGAATCAAGTCACATAAAATTGCGATGTTGTTAAATTATAAACAGTGAGCTAAAGATAACGTTGTATGGATTGTTTATTTATTTCTACACAGGCTCGCAAAGACGACTATTGGGGCTTTTTCCGCAAAAATGCTGCCTTCAATTTACCTCAAAGTGCCGTTTATCTCAGCTTCAATAGATGAAAAACAAACTAATGAACTCGGGATTTGGAGATGTCGATGTATTTGACTCCCTCTAGTCATAATTCAAGTTGCACGTGTGGTAACAATGAGATCAGAAGCTAAATTAAATAGCCAATTAATTAACTTCCCCTCACAACCTTTGCAAATGACCAAAACAGCAACTACTTATCGTTTATAATCGACAATAAAACGTTTTCCTTGCTGGTAAACACAACACCAGTAAGCAGAAAGAGTATGAATCAAATTAAACAACTGCGTTTCCAAATTAGGCTAATGTAAATTAAACATCTTTTTTTACGATGCTCGTTTTTCCTGTGTGTATTTGAATGCAACCATACGACAGTCTCTACACCAATCAGATTAGAGCGGGTATGCTCCTGACCAATAGAAATCCATGGAATCAGCGCCGAAGAGTTCTAGAACGTAGAACAGCAACTGATACTGGGTCAGGTTGTACCCTGGTGTCACAGTGACCCCCCCCCCGAAAAAACCGAGCTCAGATCAGCTGTTAACAGTAAGAATTGACCGAAAGGGAAGCCATGATGGATTTCTCACACCATAAAGCGAACCCCGATCTTCAGTTGAAGGCAGCAGCGTCCAAACAATGAACCGAGAACTCTACATTCCCTAACTATGCGCTAGCATGATGATGTGCACGCGATTTTCTCAATGTTATAAATTAATCTTTGGCTACATGTATAAAAAAATAAAATAAAATAAAAAGTGTATCAACGCAAACGTTCGTTGCGACTCGTCCAAGTGAGTCCGCAAGTAACAATAGAGTTAACCGTTTATCTGAAACTTTGTCACACGCCGACAGACGCTGGCTATCTTAAATAAAACTACTTTAATTTAGCTAATCGGCTGTATTGAGTGAACGAGTTTAGCTCAACCTGTGATAGAAGAAACAAGTAGCTAACATTCGCCGCTGCGGCTAACGTAACGCACGCTAAAAACGCGAGCCAACGTTCTATAGAAGCACTCCAACGTTCTTTAGAAGCACTCCAACGTTCTATAGAAGCACTCCAACGTTCTTTAGAAGCACTCCAACGTTCTTTAGAACACGGCGGAATTCGAACGCGACTCGCGTAAGTTGCGTTTAACGAACCTCGTGTTCAGGAAGTAACGCTCACTGGGTGTTTTTATTTTTCCTTTTTTTGTTTTATTTTTTTTAATTTTTTTTTTTAGCATTGAGCGCAAATCTTTCGCAAATCTATTTGTTACGCGGCGGAGAAAAGATCGTGCACTCACCCTCTCGGTTGTGGTCCTTGTGGGTGTCAGTCGACAGTTTGTCCAACCCCCAAAACCCGCCTCTGCCCCCCCCCAAACACTTTCTACCGGCTAACGTTACCGCTCCGCTAATTCCGTTTCTTTTTTAAATCGGTCGATTGGGAGCGTGTTGTATTAATAAGTATAAATATAACGAAATTATTAGTATTCGGTCATCGATCTGATAGTGATCACAAAATTACGTCACGTAACAGCTAACGTTTATAGTTTGCTAACAGCGATAGTGTGAATGTTTTCGTTCTGTGTTAGCACGCTGAGCTAAGTCGGCTAAGGTTAGCAAGACTTCCTGTGTCTCAACTTTCAACTTTAGCTAAAAGCTAGCTTTTCTAAAGGTAATACCGCCATAAAATGTACTGTCGGTGGTTAATACGTTAGCCGTTAGACGACGTAGCTAGCGCCTTACAGCCGGTACGCTAGAGTTAAACATTTAGGTGATAATTGTAGTGTTTAATTAAAGTATTTTTTATCTAAAATTAGGCGAGAACTTAATGTTATGCCTCAGCAATCCAACACACACTAAAAACTTTTGCTATGCCAGTGATTCACAACGTTTTTCATCATGAAATTGGCTAAATTATTTATTTTAAAGTTGGTTTGTTCTGCTTGAGCTTCACCATTTATAAACTACTTACAAAAACATTGTCTAGCAATTAATGTTGTTATCACTGGTAGGTCCACGGTACTCCTGTGACGTCTCAGATTTTCTCTTGTGGGGTACCACAGGGCTCTGTATCAAGACCACTGTTTGTTTGTGTTTTTTTTTACTGGTTCTTAATTGGCAATCTTTTGTGAAATCAACGTAAACTTCAACCCTGCCATAGATCCTAATTATCACTTCAAACTTGAATATGTTTTAACTGGCTCACAAGAACTTTCTCAGTTGAAACCAGGACAAAACAAAAATCCTTATTGCTGTGTTTAGCGTCTTCAGTTAACACCTTCAGCCTGATACACTGGGCTCGGTTCTTCCACAAAGTGCTGGCATGACAATTTTGTAATTTTGAAACCAAACATTTGAACTCATAACACAGATTATGTCCTCGCCCCATGTTAATTTTATATAACATGTAATATTTCATATTGTTAAAGTCTTATTGACAGAAGAAGAGTACTTCCTGGCAAAACTTTTCAGTCTGTGCAACCAGATTAGACAAACAGATTTCAAGGTTGAACTTTGTATGTTCACTCTCGTTGTAATAAATGTATAACTGGTAATTTTGATGATTATTTTTTACTTCAATTGTGATTCTTGCAATATATTTTACATTATTATTTACTGTTGGATTTTTTTGTTTGTGAATTATTTGTACAGAGTACTGAAACAGTTGTTATTTTGCACTTTAGATACATTTACCTGTTAGTTTTACACTGTATACAGTCTATAGAAAATATATCTATAATATATGTATAATTCAGTAGAGCAGAAGGTAGAGAAAGCTGTTAAAAATACAACTTTTTCTGAATTCCCTCACCCATTTTGAAACATACAGTGAAGAACTACAAAGATACTAGTATGGATAAATACTGATAAAAAATAATTAAATGTAAAATTCCAGCTAGTTTTTAATCACTTTATGAATAAGCTGTGATTATCATTTTTATTACGTGTTACATATTATTACATGTACTGTTTAGTTTTATAGTTATACGCTGTTCAAAATATTTTGCACACCACTTCACTACATATTGCATATAGTGTATATATTTTTCATTAAAGTCTTATATTTTCTATTATATTTGATAATATTCTTATTTTGTGATTCTTCATTGTACTTTTACACTACTGTACTTTATGCACTACATTCCCCAATGCTGCTGTGTCTGACTTAAATTTCTCCTACAGGGATCAATAAAGGAATATCTCTTCTATTGGAGTCATTAAAAAATAATAAGTGGATTAACCAGTAATAAAAATGATCAGCACTTACAACCTTATTGACCTTCACCTTCACCAATGAGAGGAGTAATCAAACAAAAGATAAAAGCATGTAAATGAATTGGAAGTTGACGCAAGGACACACGACTGTTGTGTTTTTCAGCAGCCAAGCTGCGTTTTATTGAGTGAAAATTACACAGGTTGCTATAAGAAGTACACAAACATTTCCACTAATAATTCAAAAGTATAAAAATAGTACAGAATCTGTTCTTTTTAAATGCGTTTGCACTTTAGGTTCATGAAAAAGTCAAAGCAAAAATCCACAAATGTGATTCTGATAAAAGTTAAAGAACAAAAAGGTTATAGTTTTTTAAAAAAGAAACATCATTCACACTCGAGCCTACAAATACACATACAAATGAACTGCATCTAAATAAAACAAGATATCAAAAAGCTATTGATTAATATGCTCTATATTATACTGTAACATTACGAATTTCCAGCAAGCTTTATACTGTGTTAATATATACGTATGTTCTCAATATAAAAAGCCTTAAAAGAGCAGTTACACAAAGAAAAGAAAAAACTAGATTTTTTTTACGTACTGTTTTCAAGCTAAAAACATTCAACAAGTTCAGCAGTATTAATGAAGCATGTAAACAATTACTTTTTGGTTTTTTAAAAGGAGATTAGACTTGAAAAACTTAAAAAAAGGGTTCCTGATGGCACTTTAAGGGGCCTTTTTAGCACCATAAAGGAGTCCTAACATTTATAAATGAACTTTAACCATTAAAGAAACAGTTCTTTAAGAAGGCTTGTGCATTTTGTGTTAAAACATTTTTTTTATATAATAATGTAGTTCTTGAGAGTTAAAACACCTGTAAACCTTTCTATCGATACAGTACGCAAAACATTGTGTAAAAAAAAGTTCCAGTGATAAAATACAAGCTATATATATATACAGGGCATATGGGAGCAGAAAGCTACAGTATATATTCACAGAACAGAGATCCTACAGGAGGAGAGTTGCCCCCTTTGTCTGAGGTAATGCCCGTTCAGTATGATTTTGGTGACAGCATTTAAAAAAATCATCCAGTTATCAAAATAAAAAAAATAAAAAAAAAGGACTGCACAGAGTTTTGATGAGTTTGGTCACATCCAGTAAATGACTGTCTGGTGAACATGCTAATGCGTATATACAGTATGATGTTATTGTAGGCTAAACACCTTCTATCCAATTCATTAAGGATTCAGAAATGGTGCCGACTTACTGTCTTTTATCATTATTAAGGAGTATTAATCTTTATTATGTATGTGTGCCACACACCACACATTGTGGACTTATTTAAACATACTGTATACCAAAGCATGTGCACCACACGTAACAAAGCACCTCATGGCTTCATGTCAAGTCCCTTTAACAGATTTTTTCTTTTGGAAACTGAAAAAAAATAAACTCCTTTAAACAAAAAGTAGTCAGTGCTAGTTGCGTGTTCACCAGTGTTTTCCCACCATTGTATTTGTTGCTATAAAAACCACATTTACACACAGTGACACTCTTTCCTGGATTTAAATGAACTTCTTCTAAAACCAGGATCTCCCACATCTGGCATCCAGCCATTTACAGTAAAGTAATTTTATTTTTAAGCTCTAAAAATCTAAACAGTACGATAAATGCCCTTTAATTCTTAGCTGTCAGAAATGGTTGGCAAAAAGACAAGAACCCCATTCTCTATATCTCTGTTTTTTTGTTTCGTTTTTCTTGCATTGGCTTGTTTCAAGTATTTGTATGTAGCTATCAGGGAGACGCCGCCGTGACATCATAACAGTATAGGTCAACGTTTCACACTATCTACACAAAAAAAAAACATCTTTATATAATCTTTAATAAAAGGTTTTTTTTTCTTTTTTAAAGAAGCTATTTTGCTCGTACGAACTCATCTCAAAGACAAAAAGTAAAAAAATATTGTTTTTTTATTCTTTACGACAAACCATAAAAAACTATGAATATGAACTAAATATAAAGCCAGAATCCTGCTTCAGTTCCAGGTTCAGCTTGTGGTCCGCTTGCCTCCATTGTTGAATGTATTTCCCCACAGAGGGCTTCTTTCATTGGTCTGCTGAAACACAAGGATTTTTTTTTTCTGTATTTGAATCTAAATACCTATATCTAAAAATGTTAATAAAGATAAAAGGCTGAATCTTTTGTTGGCATGAACAACTACAGCTCCCACAAGGCTTTCACCACTTTCTGTGTGGCTTAGACTCATGGGATGTGTTGTTGTTATATGTTAACAACATAATAGTTGTTTTATTTGAACCACTGAATCATGTTTGAGCGTTTTTAGACAGACCAATGAAACAAAGACGAGACGAGTGGAACAGCAGGTAGCCCAAAAAAGGGAGCAGGACTTCATCTGTCCATCTTGTGACTTTGGTTCAAGTGAGTTTTTTTGTTAGTTTTAGATTAACAGCCTGTATCGTCACACGTTAATCATCGGTTAAATGGAGGGATGAGTGACCTCTGAAATGTTTAACACTTCCTAAAAAAAATAAAATAAAGTCTGACACGCAGCCACTTAAAAAGTTGTACCATTGGGTGCCATGTTGTTCTCTATTTTCTACAACTAATAAGTGTTGTCAACTTAAAAACCTTCCAAGGGAATTAAAATAGTCCAAATAAAATCGCTGTACGGGTCTAACGTTAATAAACAAAGCACAAGGTTTTCTCATTTTTTCCCTTTTAACTCGGCTGAACCTCCGGAGAGTCGGCGCACCCTGCCGGCCTCCACCTTTAAACTTACAGTCAGGTGATACTGACTGGCTGCACACCTGAACTTTGACCCTGCCTCTCTCTCTTCCTGACTCTATGGGGTAGTGATAAACCACAGCCAAGGTGCTCACCTGTGCTGTATTTGTGTATC